TAGGATATTTCAATGAATTAATTATAATTTCAAAACTGTTGTAAAATTTGTCAAGATTGTAATAATACGAGAATTATAAAAAAAAACTAACTTTTTTTGTTTGTAAGGGACATCTTCAGCCTTTTTACGTCCCCACTACAAAAACTCAGCATGCCAATTCTGCAAATATTTACGTAATAATCGCATTCCAATAGAAACTTAACGGCTTACTTTTTGCTATTGTACTATTTATCTGAAGTCCAATATTGTTGTATGACTGCCACCATTGTGCGAGGAAGATATTGCACTAACAATATTGAACTTCAGATAGATAGTATAACGGAACAATGCAAGTCGTTGAGATTCCATTGAGATCCGATCATTACCTAAACATTAGCAAAATTGACCTACAGGCCTTATTATGGATGGTTAAGGTGGATAGGAAACACTCCACGTTGGGCTAATGCGGATTAGAATGCCAACACCTTATCATGCCTTCGAAGCACGAGATAATAATTTTTAGTTACCCATCCCGAGACCGACCCTTGCGAAAGTTGCTCAACAACAATCACCGCGGGATGCAGCGATTATCCACTACGCCACTGACTTACTTGACATTCATAGGTGGTAATCTTCGGAAATCTTGACCCGATCATGAAAATTGTTACACTTACGGGAAACTACATCATACGCAGGTGACATAGGCTATAATTTTCGCGTGCAAAACAGCGGGAAAACAGATAGTTTAATAAATCAAATCACTTTCTGTCTTATGTGTAACCATAAAGTTTTCTTAGCATCTACAGAAGTTCAATGTCCCTAAACTATATATGGTATGAATATATGTACACAGGATTTGTCTAGTAACATACATAATCTCACTAAAAACTTCTTCCATTACTTATATCTTATTTTTTTTACTTCATTGACCTTTGACTCCTTGTCCGGTCCTGATGCGCTCTAAGATGGCTCATATTTTATATTACCTATTCTTAATAATATTATAAGGACGAAGCTACATATGTAGATTTGGATGTTTGTTAACTCTTCAAGTAAAAACTACTGAATGGATTTTGATAAAATTTCGTATATGATGAGTAATTCCAAGCCTGAATTAACATACCTATAAGCTATGTTTTATCTCAATAAATGGTTCACAAGGAATAAAACAACCATCAAGTGGTTATATAACTACACAGCGCAGCACCCGGCGGAGAGACGTTAATAAAATCTTAACCTAACCCTCTAATAGCGCAGCTTCATAAAAGTGTTTTTTTTTGTAATCAGTCCAGAGGTTTTTCGTTTTATCTATTACTAATACTACAGGTAGTACAGATGCCTATTTCATACTCGAAATATTTCGTCTTATATATAATAGGTCTTATTAGCAAGACACGATGTGTCCTTCAGTGAGGTCGATGCCTTTCACAGGCCCAACCCTGCCATCGACCCTACTGACTCTGCCATTCAATTTTCTCATAATTTCTTTAAAATGTTAATTTGCTACAGTTTGATAAAGTAACCAAATTAATACATAGTTTATAACGATTATTACAAATAGGAAAGAGTTTATTGTTTGTTTGCCTCGAATAAGTTCCGAAACAACTACTCATTCACCTAGGGGAAGCTACATCAGGTGACATATATTATAATAGGGGTGACGATTAATTTTTGTTTATTTTCCGTCAGGTAGTTTATTAAAAAATATTAAACACGTATTCTTTTTATTTTTTTCGTAATCATTAAAATACGGCGATACATTGAGTTAAAATTTTACATGACGTCACGCTTAGATACATATTTTACAAAACTGTGACGTAGCGAGCCCCCACTCTTTTCAACTTTAATGCCTATTATTGAAGTAAAAAAATACGTTTTAAATATCTGACTGACGGACTAAATAGAATTAATTTGTTTACCTGGTCGTTATCCGAATTTACGTGGGTGAAGTTGAACAAAACAGCAAGTATTCAATCAATAGATAATAAAGAAATAGATATATATTTAAAAGGTTTTAATATATCATCTGTTTCATTGCCCGCCATTTTCTCTAATTCACTAGTAAATGAAATATAAGTAGCTGCAACTACAAAGGACCAAAGCTGTAATAAAATCAGCCTCGAACTTAGCGTCGAGCGCTGTCACACCTATGTTCAATGAAATAAAACCTTTATTACCTTTTGAAGTAAATTTAAACAGATTGCAAAAGCGCTACGCTCGTCTTCGATTTCCTTGCTGTTTTCATATAACAGAATAGCAATACAAGACGAATGGATGGTAAAAAAATATTGAAGGACTCGAAAATACTATAAAGCTCATTTGAAAAAAACATAGGTATTATTATTTTGGATCGAAGTTACACGGGCTAAGTTGCGATAAACACTAACTAGCTGTTTCATCGCAACTTAGCCCGTGTTAATTAAAGCCTATGTTACACGTGTATTTCCGTAGATGAAAGAATTTTTAAAATCAGTCCAATATTCTTAATGAAAAATGCTTTAAAAAATTCACTTTGTCCCTGGCACTCTAAGATGATAATAATCAGTCCAATAGTTCCGGAGCCTATTCGATTCAAACAATTAAATCTTAACTCTTTATAATATGAGTATAGATAATTAATTATCGCAATACCAGCAACAGTTCTAATCAATGGATTCACAAAGATTTTGGTTGTTACTGGCCACGCTTCGGCATGAATGGGCCGGCTCGACCGGAGTGATACCACGGCCTCACAGAAAACCGACGTGAAGCAACCCTTGCGTTGTGTTTCGTCGTGTGAGTGAGGGTACCAGAGGCCCAAACCCTCCCTATTCCCTTCCCTCTACCCCTCAACCCTTCCCTCCAAGGCCGGCAGCGCGCTTGTAGCCCCTCTGGTGTTGCAGGTGTCCATGGGCGACGGTAATCACTTACCATCAGGTGATCCGTCTGCTAGTCTGCACCCTATCCCATAACAAAAAAAAAATTGTGATACGAGAGTCACTCGACTATGGAGATCGCGATTATATTGTCACTCCTATCGACTTTTACGACTTACTTGGGATGACGTATATTTTTCTTTCGTGCCAGATCAGCAGGAAAGATAATAATTTCGCTTAAAGAAAACGATAACTACATAAGGAACTCACTTTGAAGGTCATAAAATGATTAATGGGTAAAACATCGATGATTTATGATCCTATAAGATTCTTACTGGGAGTCTACTACGCGTGTAAACGCGAAATATTCATATCGTTTTTATACGGAGCTGCTGGCACAGGACCGTAATCGTAATTCTTAAAATTTGAACTATGATTATTGTCTGATTATTAATTATTTATAATTGTAAATTTCAAGTTGCGAAATACGCCCACTATATTTTTAAATTAATATATTTTCCTCTTTGGAAAATATATTAATTTAAAAATATAGTGAATGAATGAATTTATTAAGCCTTTCTATGAATTTATTAAGCCTTTCGACTACCTATTTGTAAGAAAATGTGAAATTTAATGTTTTTTTTATATCATTATTTATTACTTATACCTAGCCGTCATTCTTTTTATTTATATTTCACAATTATCATCATGAGTTATAAATTAACGTCCCTACTGTTTTTATAGCGGACTATAAACCACAATGGTTATTTTCTACACGCTATCAAAGAATGTTAACACCTGAACACAGCGAAAAAAGAGCTTGTTGACTTCTAAAGCGCAGAGGATCACCCATCGGAAAATCGACTTTTACTTTACCCCTTCAATCGCAAACCAGATGTCCTAACAAGCTAAACAGCTCTAATAAACTACATTTGTCTATTTTAAATAGTTAATTTTAGAAAACACTCAAAAGTGCCCGAGACGAGAACCCTTAACCAAGTGAGTTAAAAAGATAAAATAGCATACTTTTGTTTGACCTAATCATATTTATGTATTACTAGATTTCGCCAGCGGCTTCGCCCGCGTGGAGCCTAGGGAAATGTTTAATGGGATAAAAAGTATCCTATTATCTAAATCAGCTAATACCCTATCTGTATGCCACATTTCATCAAAATCCGTTCAGTAGTTTCGGCGTGATTGACGGACAAACATCCAAAGAAAGAAACTTCGCATTTATAATATTAATAGGATTTCTATAAGAATTATAGTAAAGTACGAAAAAAATCTGTATTAATTCAGATTATAACCGCGAGCTCATGTACAGCACAGATACAATATAAGGAAAGTTTGTTATTATTTTTGTTATTTTGGGATTAAAAGTATCCTATAATCAGCCCAGGGACCTAATTCTCTAATTTCAATTTGATTTTTGAAAGATATTCACGAACTTCACGCTACAACTATTTGTAATAGCGTTTGCGACGTATTTTTGAAAGTTATTGAATAAACGATATCGATATCAATCGAGCGAATTTGACGATAAAAGGAATTGTCTAAGTGCGAAAATTGCTTGAACGCTATGGAGACATTTCAGATGAAAAAGTTTATTGCTAACTGCAATTTTTTGACAGGCTTGACTAAGTTTTAGCATAATTGTGATTACTACTTTAAATGTAACATAATTCCATTAATTGCTATAATATTCGCTATGACTTTGAAAGGAATTGCGATTAGCCTACAGGATTTCAAACTATAACTATGCCGACTTTCATATTAATTCCTTCGGTAGTTTTTGAGTTTATTACGAACATACAAACAAGGACAGACAGACAAATAGAAACATATAATCTGCATATTTGGCATCTATCAAACCTATACCACTAGTTTCTTTTAGTTTTACTAGTTTTTTTTTAATATATGCAATGTTCAAAATACACCCACCTTTTTAATATATTTAATGTACCTATAGATAATTTTGTATAATATTTTTCCTTAAGATAAATGCATATATCAATTCATCAATTAATTCCATCCCGATTTCTCAACCCAGTGACATTATCGAAATAGAAACGCCTATTCTTACCATTTCAGTTGCTTTAATGACCTAGATCCAAATGTGGTGCAATTACATCATTCAATTAACTTGGCATAGTAACAGAACAAGCTATGTTCCGAAAAGGCTATATTACCGTGGACCATATTCATACGCTGTGGCAAGTTATAAAGAAGACCGAAGAGTATAACCGACCATTCTGCTTAGCACATGGTACATCGAGGTACTAAAATGTCTGTATGAGAATGCTACTATGTGGGTTCAAAAGTTCAAAGCTGATAAAGGTTTTATTTTATTGAACCTCCTATGTTGAGTCAACTCGTGTGTTCGACGTTGTTTTTTTTTTCAGGTTAGGTAAGCTAAGAGATGTATGTATATCCCCATATGTAAAGAATGATAATAAATATGGATGGTATAAATAAATTATCTCGTCTTTTAAGCGTTTAAAATCTATAACTTGATATCATATTATTACTTTTTAATGTAACCCTTGGTTTCAGGGCTTGTGCATATTGGTACGCATATTATAAGTGAAGGTTTGTTATGATTAAAATAAAAGTCAATTAAAATATGTCATAAAAGGTTTTTATTTAATAAAACCAATGCTAAAACTAATAACTGGTTCATTATAACTCTCAAGTCACGTGGCGTTGTACGACACACTGAACGACTGGTTCACTAGAACTCCGAGTCACGTGGCGTCGTACGAAGCACTGACCCGTATACTGCATACCTTTATTTGTTGTATTATACACACTATGTACAACAACCATTGTATAATACGGTAATAATACCTGGAACAAATGGTGAAACCTACTACTCTAGTAAACTATTGAGTTCATTTGAAACAATTTCAGTTTTTGTATTCCTCTCTCTTTTGTATTATTTTCTCATTACTCTATGGTTATTCGTGATTGTTACCTTGTTGGCTTTCATGAATTGAAATCATTAAACGCAGTTCCATGTAAAAATTAAAGATGAAGTTCCAGCCTTAATAAGATTTTACGATCAGAGCTTTAAAATTTTTCGTGCATAACTGAAGTGAGTATCAAAATGACATAGGAATAGACTGAGACATGTATAAATCATTCAATTTTATTTTGAATTTTTTACTAAAATGGAATAAATAGAATTTCTACACCAAATGACATGAATTCGAACACCTGAGTGAACTCAAATTCGGGTTCGGATTTTTACAGGATCGCTCTGCAGACCTATAAATTCTGTCGATGATCAAATGTTCGTTTAAACTTTATAGCGATTCTTGTTGTCACACATAAGGTGTAAATTACAATGATATCCATCTCACCCATACGCCGCTAGGGGTCAGGTGTATGGATATCGGTGGATCGCTTGATGACGTGATACTTGAATAATTTGAATCGGTCCACATTTTCTCTGCGCTTCGAAATTTAACCTTCTGCACACAAGGTATACCAGTAAAACACACCCGTTGTATCCTGTACGCCTGTGAGTGATTGTACACTTAGCTAATTTTATTATATTTATAGGTTGTCAAAATAAATAAAAATGTCTCTATCGATTTTACTAGTAAATCCATAGAGACAATTTTATAAATTCATATTTTGGTCCTTACAATATCTTTATATATATATAACTAACTATTTTTTTCTCGATTTCGCCCGTGTCAATTATAACTTATGTCACACGATAATGATATATCCTGTAGATGAAAGAATCTAGACAAACAATCAAATGTATCCTTTTTTCTTGTTTCCTCATTTTTATAGACCACTTTTTAAGTTGTGTATATTCTTTTTTGTTTCTTTCCACGGAAAGGCCCGTAGAATAATTTAGTATTGTCAGTTATAAAGATTTATATTTAACAGATTTTTCCTAATACTAAAATGTAAAGACAAAAGATACAATACTCCTTCGTTACTTCAAACTTTTCATCACCTTTCAGTATAAAAACGGATATTTTAAACATTCGCTTAAATTAGTCGTTTAAAGTTAATTTGACGATGATATTATTAAGTATATAAGTCTCTCAGGCAACATGCACGTCGCCTTTATGTTTCTATGTCACGCTACCATCAAATCGTACCTTTTTATAACATTTCTGTTTTGGTCAAAACAACTTGAAAATGTAATCGACTTCCACCTTTCGTCACAAGTGTTTTTTAATCCCATTTTTTAATATACCTTTAATCTATGATAAAATCTTATTAACTGTGAATTAATGAATATCTTGAATTTTAAAAGTATGACTGTAAAAATATAAACACGATAAACACGCCATCTAACGTTTGATAAATTCTACGTCATATCAAATGTTTCCTACAATATTTTTTTTAATCTGTACCTAAATAGGTATAATGATTTATAACCTAAAATAAAGGAGATGTTTTGCTTTGAGATTACTCACACATTGTCATTTTTAGAGTCCCGTACCTAAAGGGTAAAACGAAACCCTATTATTAGGAACAATTAAATTAACTTTGTAAAGTAATGGAGATAGTTTACTTTAGTTTTCAAAATACTCTTGCTTTATATACATTTTTAACGTCATTGCTATTATAAATAAAACCAGTTTCATAAAAAATATATTATATTAGAAAATCAATCCGGTTGAAATGGAAGTCGGTTCGGAAAAAAGTTTGAAAATAAAATTGTCTAAAGTGATATCCATTGTACATTACAGGTTGGCGGCAGCGCAGGAGGCGGCGGGCGCGCAGGCTCGCGCGGCGCCAGCTGATACCATGGGCGGCGCGCACCAGCCCGCTGCTCCAGGGCCCAGCTCGCTATTTATATTTGCCAACGAAAATCCTATTCGGAGGTCAGTTTTCTATCATTACAATCCAGTGATATAATATCTCGTATTTACCAACTAATTTTGTATAAGAGTTTTTAAAGAACTTCGAAAGAGGTTCTCAATTCTAATGTTTTATTTTTCATTAGAATTGAGAACTTCTTTCAAAATGTTTTTTGTAGGATACGTTCCACAACACAGACCTTTTTATATACTTATGAAAGTTTCTGTTACACGACATCTTCGGCAGTAATTGATAATGTGGTCAATACAATAACTTTTTTAGTATAAAACACTAAGTTTCGACTTCTAAGTTTATTGAAATAATTTTTAAAACTACAAAGGCAGTTAACAGATTCAATAAATTTCAATAGAAATTTATCAAGTATAGCATCCTGTGATAGCATCATACTGAGACCATACTATACTATATGGGACCTTATAGTGGATTTTTTATTTATTATTATTTATAATACCTTTTTTATTTGTCAGCGCTAATATTATTCAGGGTATGTTCCGATATACACTGCGACCACTGGACAGTATGACGTCAATTTAGTATACTGGAAGCCCGTTCCTTTATAGCTAGTTATACTGGTGACTTTAAAACGGAACGCAGTCCAGTATACTGTTAATCCTATTTTTTGGCGCCATTTTCAAATTTGTTAATGCAAGGTGAATATAAATATAAAGATTCCCTCTTTTCAAAAGAAAATTGGAAAATTGTATAAAAAAATATTTATCAATTAAATCCATCTTATAAATAAACGTAAGTATTTTTTTTTTGTTTATTTAGAAACTTATCATTTTCTGATTCTGTTTCGACTGATCACGTGATTAAAAGCACTGCGAGCACCTTACCTCCAAATCTCCAATGCTCACAGTACAAATATGGCGGCAATTTATGACGTCATAAATTTCCCTAGGGTACTGTAGCAGTGTACTGGCAGTCCATAACGGAACGGATTTTTCAGCAGTAAGACAACTGCGCAGTGCTCGCAGTGTATATCGGAACATACCCTCAGACGTCAGTTTTTAATTCCACTTGTAGCTTACATATTTACGAATTAGTTTTATTCGGAAGTCGATTTTATCACGTTAACACCAGGAGATACTGAATTATGACATCGCACCCAAACTTCTTAGTTCTACATATTTGTATTAGCGATGTTTTTAATTTATATAAAGCATTTAAGCTTCGTTAGCTATACTATTTACTTATTCCCACAATATAAACATCTACATCTATGTTTACTGATGGATTTTCGTGACCATTGCTGTGGCTTTTCATGTTGTTAGTAATTGATCATTTAATTGTATCGCTTTTACTGTTAATATTGTTATTTTACCATATCATGTTTATTGTCACATTTTATACGTTGAAACAAATTTGGATAAAGCGCCAAAACCCACCATGCGAGCCCAGAGTGGATTGGTGGGTGTTAACGACTATAAATACAGTCTGAACCACAGGCTAAACGCCTTCCGAAGCACGAAGGAGCTCGAGATAGTAGAATGATGGTCGCCCATCTATTATCATTATTATTATTATCACCAGCCAATACGAAAATTCGCTTCTCCTTCGTATCGCAGACCGAAAGCGATAGCCACTGCGTTATCGAGCTCCTTTTCATTTCATTTCATCATTTCATCTATACAAATAAACAAACTTGGAGTATCTGTTTGTGATATTAGAATAATAGCTTTTCACAAAATACATATGTATACAAAGTGCATCTACAAAAATTTTTTTTTTACATTTTTGTCTGTCTGTTTGTTCGGGCTAATCTGTGAAACGATTGATTTTGATGAGATTTTCACTGGCATATAACTTATGCAATAAGGAATAACTTAGGCTACTTCCACGCGGATAAAGTCACGGGCACAGCTATATCACTATGAAATTGTTTTTTCAACTATCTTATTGTTGTAATTATGCAGCTTAACATACTTACTGAATTAAAATACATTAACATAATGGAGAGCAAGATGGCAAATATACACTATTAAAGCACAAATTGTATATTTATAAGCGTATATAGATGTAACTTTAAAGAATATTAGAGTCTTGTTGATATCTGAATTACTCTAGCCAAACCGCAGCGTGCATTTCGTGAAATGGAATTTCATGATAGCGGTACTTGCATAAGGTTTTATTTGTCTTAGCAAAATTATCTTAGTAGTAAGAAGATCGATACACAAAAGAACGTAATCATTTTTATTTTATTAGAAACTAGCTATTTCCCGCGACTTCGCCCATATAAACAGACTATGTTAACCACATATGATGTAGCTTCACGCAGATGAAAGAATTTTTAAAATCGATTTAGTAGTTTCGGAGCCCTGCAAACAAATCTTCCAAAGAAACAAATTGTTTCATAATTTATATTGCAATAGACCTCTGTTAATTCTGTTTCTGTTCTGTTCATTTAAACAAAATTATAAAAACTATTTGAAATTTTCCGAATTTTCATTGGTAGAAAAACACACAACTTTTATAACACAAACGATTGTATTTTCATATTCCAGAAGTCGATAATTATTTAAATTATGGACTGGCTTTAACGGTTGCGTTGCAGTACTATTTTTGACATATGTAATAACCTTTTAAAGAAAAATGGTATTAATTGCCACCGAATACGGTAGAGGTTCGAATAATGTTGTATCTCTCATTTTGCTACTCGTTACTCTGCAAACGTGAAATGGTGCCAGAATTTTTTTTTCCTATATTTACGGGAGTTGCAAATCTTTGTTTGAAAATAGTAGCTTTTAAACTATATTATCTAGGATTATTTTCTTAAAGACTTAATAACAAATTATCATGAGTAAAAAAATACTTATTATAAAATAAGAAATAAAGTAATATTCATCCTTGTTTTATCGTAATTTAGTGCTTGGTTTAAATCGTTGGTCGTCTAAAGCATATTGACAATAACAGAAGAAAAACGGCAAATTGCAGTGTAGTAAAATCCCCCCTTTTGTATAATTCATGTTATTCGCTTTAAGATTAATTAAATAATTTTAAGCAATACACTGAAACTGCGACATTAATCGGTTTCAATTTGTGATTATTATCAAGCGGGTGATCAAAAAAGTATTATCTTGTAATCTTCCGTACTCAGGAAGGCATATTTAATTGGCCATAATATTGAGTACATAGTAAATAAGAGCCGCACCCCGCGAACGTTCTTACGTTCGCGGGCTATACATACTATACGAAAGTTGCACGAGATGGGTGACCAAAAAATTATTATCTCGAGCTACTCCGTCCTTCGGAAGGCACTTTTTGACGTTGATCCCAGCAACATCTGCAGTTTACACCTTCCAATCCACATTGGGCAAGCGTGGAGGATTATGGCCCATCCTCCTCAATCATCTCCTCATAAGGAAGGCCTGTGCCCCTACAATAGGGACGTAATAGGGCTGATGAATATTAAGTTATTTGGATACTCATTGCAAAATTTTGCTAAACTTCTACAGTGCTATAAATAAACAAAGTTTAGCGTCAGAGAAAATTTACGCTAAAATTGAAATTATAATATTAGTCCAAATTCATATTATACAGAGAATAAGAATAAGTATTTACTACCTTTTAGAAGTGAATATTATTCCCGTAGAACCTCGTACTAGGTTAACCTTTACTAAGTCTCTGTTTAATAATATGAATCGTGACTAATACTAAGTGCAGTCTCGGCGTAAATTTACTCCAACGCTAAATCTTGTTTATTTATAACACTGCTATTGTTTATTTACGATAGACGATGGGTAGAATATAAATAATAGTACCTAGTTTTAGATGTTTCAAGACTAAAAAGTATTTTTTTTTAAGAATCATCTGTATAATTTCTTTTCTTAATTGCTGAAAAAGTAAATAATTTTCAAATTAAAAACTTATCTGCAAAATCATACTAAAATAAAATAAGTTTTATTACATCTTTTCTAAACAAATTTCTAATTGCAATCGGGGGACCTCTTAGAATACAAATGTTCCACAGAACTGTACCCCAACTTTAATGAGAATTTGGTTTAGAAAAGCTATAATAAAAATTGTTTCATTAATTTTTAGTTCTATTTTGGCAGTCGAGTGTTTTTAATTTTTAAATTATTTATTTTCATTTTATTCCTTTTATTGAACAGTTAATTATGCATATGAGTTATATTTTCCTAGAGTGTACTCATCAAGACCTTTTATTTGATAACCATATTACTATAATTAAAGAAAAACGAATAATTTTCATGTTTTTTAATTGGCGTCAGTCATACTTACATCCGCCATTTTGAATATGTTTTATAAGTTTCTAATGATACCCTACACATGCTTATATACGTTAAGTCTTTCAAAAGTCATAGTGCTATAAAGAAACTCGCTAAATATACATGTTATGTACACGCATTAACGGTAAACATAATACACTTTTTCTGGGGCAGTTATGTAAAAAGGAAGAAATTCTCCCCAATTAGAAGATTTCTTCTTATTCTTAATCAAAATTGTTTCACAAATCCCTTGAGTGCATCCTATTATTCTACCAATGCATCAAACAAAAACCTTTCTTATTTCCAGGTATACAAAGTTCATCATCGAGTGGCCGCCCTTCGAGTACGCGGTGCTGCTTACCATCATCGCCAACTGCGTGGTGCTGGCGCTGGAGGAGCACTTGCCCAACGGCGACAAGACCGTCTTAGCACAGAATTTGGTAAATCATACCTTATGCTGTATAGCTTCTTAATCTATTTTACTGAGTCATTACTTAAAATTGATATAATAGAAGTTTCAACCGTATATATATTTTTTAATAAATGAACAACATTTAAAGTCAACGTCAAGTCAAAGTATATTATTTGCGTAATAATATGTATCTACATTGGAATGTTCAACAATAATTCAAAACCAAACATAATTACACCTTATTCTTGTAGACATGCAAATTACAATTAAAAAGTCACAATAATAAAAACAAAACTATATAAAACACATTACGCATAAATTTTATCATTTTTTTTTGTACTTTTCTATATTCGTGTCAGGTTTAAATAATAGAGAGCATTGTTATATATTCATAAGATTTTAAATTAAATGTCAATATTTTTTTATTACATATATTTCATTAATCATTATTCTTAAAATGCTAATGTTTGGATTCCATGTATTCTTGAGTCGAATAAATATTCTTGTCTAAAAACCATTAAGTACAAAAATATAGGATAATATATTAAGAAATAAACAATTAGGAAAAGTACTCAAATATATTCACTTTTAACCTCTTAATAGTAAGTCCTAAATATATCTTTTCAAGTAGCTATGATCATATTCCTAACTATTTAAAAAAAATAATGAGCAAATTGTATTGAAAACAAAAATTATAATCTATAGAAACCAGGAGAATAACCTTCTTTCCAGTGCTTATACTGTATTATTGATCGAAGATCTTTCCTTACCTTATGTTTGGTTATATTACTTGTCAATAACTCTATTTGACGAATAATCCTACCACCAAACTCAACCTAAGGAATTATTAACAATTTTACAGAATATCCTTATACAAATTGCAAGCCATTTCTGAATGATAAAAATAGTTTTCTGGGCTGAATGATCTACTTTGTATTAAGTTTATTAAATAAAAAAAAAAATTGTATCAATAGGTAGACAGTTTTTTAGTAACACAACATACATTTTTAATTCCAATAAAACTAGTACTATAAGTAATATTATATTTTTGTCGTCGATCATTATTTCGAAAATGTTCAATTCAAATGTCATTATTATTTATGAATCAGTAACCGATCATGATTAACATCGTTATTTCTTTATTGTTACAGGAAGAAACCGAGGCGTACTTTTTAGGGATATTTTGTGTAGAAGCCTCGTTAAAAATCTTAGCATTAGGTTTTGTTTTACACAGGGGATCGTATCTTAGAAACGTTTGGAACATCATGGATTTTTTCGTTGTAGTAACTGGGTAAGTAATATTTCCTATCTCTTTTTGTTTGTAGTATTTAGACATTCTCAAAGAAAAGCTTTCGAGTGGATTAAGTGCTTTGAAGACCGAACAGTCTATATCGCTCACTGAATAGTACAGTGGTACAACTCAAAAACCATTATTTCGAGTAAAAGCCACAACATTGTGGTGGCATCCCATAGATAATTAAAAGAGAAAATAAAAAACTTAACAGTAATAATATAATACAAATGTTTTAACTGTTATGCTAAAAAAAATATTTACATAATTATATATATATTAAATTTTCATAACTTTGGAGAGCGTTTCTCGAAATTATGGTTTTTGAGTTGTGCCACTGTACTATTCAGTGAGCGATATATATTCCGCAGATATTCTATAGAAATCATCATTGTAGAACAAGGCCCGCGAAACGTTCGTTCATATGTCGACTCCGTCTAAGCCCCGGACTTCCGTATCAGCAGTACTAATGTGTAAAAAAATCAACGTGAAACTCCACGTCGAGCACACTGCTATTACAACATAGAGGTTCAGGAGGAGGAGGAAAGCTAATACTGTGTCAGTACTGTGCTCAATGCCGAGTTCAAGGTTGATTTTATTACAGAATAGCAAAGTTAGACATGCTCCGTATACCCTCATATAAGGAGTCCACGAAACGATTAATTGCGATTGACAGTAATTATGTAATTGGCTCTCATTAATGCAAGAATTCGTCGTTTACGTCATACGAATGAAGCAATTGTGCAAATTGCATTGACAATGACAGAAAACGGCAAGAATTTCCATTGATGGAAATTGACGCCTATGTGTACGTATTGAAAGAAAATGATGACAAATAATGTTTGTTTACATCATAGATTTACTCCACTCGACTCGACTGAATCATAACGAATGATCCACCTTCATTTGTTGCTTTAGTCTCCCATCATTTGAAACTTGAAAGCTTCAATCACGTAACGATATTGAATCGCAAATGATTGTATACGAAAAATCGACAGTAAACTGTTTTCATATTTAATAAGAAATTTTAAATGTATGGCCACCTTTTAGCTGTAAACTTTAATTTACAACTTAACCACCACCGCAGCAGATCAGGTTAATACAAAACGATAAAATTCTGCGATCGATTACGAAATTAAGTTTCAGTGATTGATGGTCAAAACTAATTAGAGAATGTATCAGTGATAACCTGACGTGATGTTGGTTGTAACGTGAAAAGACTAAAAAAGGTAGACCATAAATTAAAATGTCTTTCGTCTAACTACTCATGCATCACCATCGCAATCAGGCCACAATTGGTTTTGACAAAAGACTAACGCAAATTCGTAAAAAATTAGGCAGTTAAGGAGAGTATGTGTTTACTTTATTGAATATTCGATGACGGAAACTAGGTCGATGACGATATTCGCCGAATACAACGTGGACGTTGACCTGCGGATGCTGCGCTCGTTCAGAGTGCTCCGCCCGCTCAAGCTCGTCTCGCGGATACCAAGTAATTCACAGTAATTGGCGAACCGTTCACATTAATATCTACCTTATTTGTATAGAACGTTCTCGCTAGATGTTTTCGAATTTCAAATATTTTTCGAATGTAGATAAAATATGTCGGTAGATTTTTTTGAAAATAGAACTTTTCAATTTTATATTAGTGAAAAGCGTAGCGTCGATCTCTCGGCACACAGTATGAGACGTTTCGTTAAACGCTTAGAAATGGTGTGAGTTTATTAATAATTGAAAATGTTTAAATGTTATTTAAATATCAGCTACGTGTTGCATAATAGTGACGATTTGCTATAATTGTGTATTGCGTAGGTATTACAAAATAAAAGTTTAATGTAAGTTTTTAGATAACGATATGATACCTAGGTGTGAATAAATATGGTGTATTTAGATTAAAATGCGTAATAATTAACGTGTGATTAGTGTTTACAATAATCTGACTAATTAGATACACGATATTTAGACTGTAGAACTAAGCTAGAGGAATCATTTTGAAATATTTTCGTTATATTTATTAGGTTTGTGCTGTCGCAGGATGTCTTAGCCTTTTTGTTAAACCATGAAGTATTTTTGCTGTTATAAAAAAAAAACAAATCGACAAGCACTGACCTACGTAGAGGTTTTATTTCTAAGCTAGTTGCTAGTTCAAGCTATAGTACCGAGTGATATGTGTTTGGCAGTATCATCACGCAGCTGCCGGTGGCGCCCGACGTCGACTTCAGGACCTTGCGTGCCATTAGGGTGCTGAGGCCCCTTAAATTAGTATCGGGCGTTCCTAGTGAGTTTTAGATATTCTTTAGCCACACGTAGCTCCACCAGCACTTGCTGTTCTGTAATTTTACTTCAAAAATATCCACTTTAGAACTTCAAAATAACTTTGAGTTGCTAATTCATTTTAGTGGATGTCCTGCAACTCTGTCTGAAGAGTACTTTTTACGATTTCAAGTAAAGTTACACAGCAGGACCCTTCATTTTTGTGCACGACGTCTTCCATTATTTCTTTTACCATCTTGTCATTTCTATTATAGTTTATTTGAACCTACTTAGAATCTCGTATATTAGTGGAAGTACTTATCTATTTATCTTCTAGATCGTGCCCGGTGCATTGAAAATAAGTATTAGCACTTTCTTCTTATGTACAATAATATAATTTGTATACCACTTGTGAAATCTTAAATTTTATTACTTAACAAATTAGATAAAATCAAAATTGTTCATTATCTCTTTCAGTTATAAAATATTATAGTATTGTAATAATTACTATTGACATATAAAATAATAGATTAATGAATAAGAATTTTATTAGTATACCTACCCTGTATCCGTTGTAAATATCGTGAAAAATCTGATGTATTAGTTGTTGCGCTCAAAAAAGGTTGAAGTTTGAAATCAATATAATCATATTCCAAAATTCTTCCATTCCTACAACGCAGCGTCGTGCGCTTTGAAAACAAACCTAACTTCCCAGTCCTCGATGTGTCCATTATAACTTCCAAAGCACATGGAGTAAAGTTAAATTTCCCATGTAGGTCTGCAAGTCGTTTTGAAGTCCATCATCAAAGCGATGGCACCGTTGCTGCAGATTGGCCTCTTGGTGCTTTTCGCGATCGTCATCTTCGCCATCATTGGCCTCGAGTTCTACTCGGGGGCGTTACATAAGACTTGTTATACTTTAGAAGATATAAGTGAGTAAAAACTTTTTATGATATTTATTTAGAAAAAAAATAATGTTGCGAAGAAATTTCAAATTATTCTGTAAAAAAACTACTTTGAAATGTAATAAAGGTTCCATTTCACTGGAATTCTATCACATGACGCCGCCCGGTTAACGACGAGTTCTACTTAGTTTATTTTGACAGAATATTTTACAGACTTCGTATCCAATATTTTTCTATAATTATGATATATGATACTGTAAATGATATTATATTCAATTCGCATGCATCTTATGAAACTAATATGGGTATAAAAATGTTGTATAATAATAACAAAAACACAATTCAATTATTGAAAATCATCACATCAATAAGAGATATATGTAAATAGTGTCATTTATCTAAAAATAATAACCTCGACATTAAAACAAACTCATCTATAACGTCGGCAAATAAATAACCTACCTTTATAACTAATTGCCAACAGGAACTAGAGTTTAACTTATAACAGCGGTTTTACTGTAAAACTTACTTCAAATGCAATATTACTTTTCAAAAACTTGTGTAATATTCATTCCAATTCGATTTCCTGATTAGCGCCGCAGACTTCTTCGTAACAGAATATATATCATACTATTAATCTTCACCTAGGTACGCCGTAACGAAACGTTTTCATATCTTATGACATTTTTGTAAATATAATAAATATACAGCAACCAAACATCGACAATAAATTTTAGTTGAAATAATTTTGAATTCCAAAATTCGATAGCTGTACAATATATGATTAAATTGTGCTGAAAAATTATTGAATCCTAATTGTGATGATAATTACAACTCTAATCATCCTTATGAATAGTGAAATCGAAAATAAAATTGTCGGTATCTTGTTGGGATGATTTAAGATACCGATTTCGGTTCTTGTCGGGTTAATAGAAAATTAACTTTAATATATTATCTCGAAAATGTGTCGCGTCTGTCATTTTATACTTCTTTATTTTAGCTGCTTAATTTTGAAGTAGGTAATATTTGAGAACTGTATATATCATAATTTAAACCAGTTTTTAGATATAACGCGTTTCCTCTAATAAGAACTATTTTTTAATAAATGCCTTTGTTAACACTAAATGAATGCTTAAAATTGTATATCTGTTAAAACGTTCGTACGTAATAAGACGCAATTTTCCGAAGCGAGTCAGTAAAAAATAATTTTCTTTATTCTATTTTTTTGTTTATTTTTAATATAAATTCCTATTCAACAGATGAAATATTAAATGACGGCGAGAGCGCAACGCCATGTAACGCTGACAACGTGTCGCTAGCGCCGTACGGGGCCAACGTGTGCGATTATGAGAAGAGCACATGCCTCGAGAAATGGGAGGGGCCGAATAAGGGCATTACGTCCTTCGATAACATCGGCTTCGCCATGCTCACCGTCTTCCAGTGTATCACCATGGAGGGCTGGACTTCCATCCTCTATTGGGTTCGTATCGTTAATAAACCGTTATATTCTGAAACTTTTTCATTCACGGTGATCCTCTATTAGGTTAGTAGCATCGTCGACTTTTTGAATATAATATTACTAAAGAAGTTTATTTACATTGTGGACATATCCCGTGGAAAAATATGTATGATCTGATGTATACATATGTAAAAACATTTACTTATTTGACATAGGTACTACTAATATCTATCTCACTAGAATATTACTTTAGAGCAGTCACCTGAATTACGTAAAATTATGGCTTGAAATAAAAATTTAAAATAGGTATATTTTAAATATATTAATTCTAATATGTATATTTTTAAATCCTAGATCAGTATTAGAACTGACATTGATTGGTGAACGTTTGTTATTGCCGTAGCTGTGTCTCTTTCTTTCGTTAACTTTTTAAATCATTATTCCTTTTTTAATTACAAATTTTGTTACAGACGAACGACGCGTTAGGTAGTGCGTTCAACTGGGTTTACTTTGTGCCTCTCATAGTATTGGGTTCATTCTTTATGCTCAACTTAGTTCTCGGTGTCCTTAGCGGGTAAGTGGATTTTATTATAACTACTAATTATCCTTTATCTTGATTTTATATAGTAATAACTATTAGAGTGATTCTAACCTTATTTTGTATTATGACACTCGTTATTTTGGCTCTGTTTCAAGCGCTTTTTTTTTCTTTGTTTTATATTTAAGTATGTACGTATTTTATTAAATAGTATTATTTTAGTTTATATTTAAATCAGTTACTATAATATTTTGATTAATCCACATGTGCCATAGATTATTTACTTTATTTCTATGGCTTTTCCTTTATCCATTTGCTTGGTTGAAATTCAGAGAATTCTCTAATGAGAGAGGACGCGTTGAACGAAGAGAACAGTTCCAAAAGGAACGAGCTAGACAGATGTTCAATCATGACTTCACTGCCTATCTCGACTGGATAACCGAAGCAGGTGTGCGACAAAAGTCGTGTGAAGCCAGAGCGTGTATCGAATACACAGTTTTGTAGGCTTGTGGTCATTTGACTATGCCCATTGCAAAAGTATTCATCAAAAGTTTCATTAAATTTCCGATACAAATTTTCAAATTAAAACATTCGTTAGAGTTAAGCTCAAATAAATCATTAAACCTTAATGGACGTTTCTGCAACTGGGCGTTATGTTTCGACTGAGAAATCTTTCGGAAAAATAGAAACATTAATTTTCATTTCAACACTATTTTTTTGTTATTTTTCACTAATTGTAATTTATATTTCATACGCTAATTATTGGTACATATATAGATGAGAGTGAGCTCAGTAGTAGCTAGTTTGGATTTCACTATTTACAATCATGTTCACAGTGAATTCGCTAAAGAAAGAGAGAAAGTAGAAAATAGACAAGAATTTCTTAAATTAAGAAGACAACAACAACTAGAAAGGGAGCTCAACGGTTACGTTGAGTGGATTTGTAAAGCCGGTGAGTAATAGTGTATTGTCTAGCAAAAAAACATGATAGCAGTGAACTTGAGTGTTTAACCATTCAAATCTTTTTCAGAGGAAGTAATATTAGCTGAAGAAAGAACTACAGAAGAAGAAAAAATGCACATAATAGAAGGTAATAACTAGTTTTATCTATATTTTTTGACAATAAAACATACACAATTTCATAGAATGTAATTACATCATACGACTGATATATTCTATAATTTACGCGAACCAAGTCACGGGAAAGCAACTACTTATTATATACAATATATTATGACAAAATCTGTTACTCTAACAGCTCGAAGAAGAGCGGCAGCGAAGAAAAAGTTAAAAAACCTAGGGAAAAGTAAAAGTACTGACACTGAGGAAGAAGAGCAAGACGAAGATTGCGGAGATGACGGTTAGTATAATAAAGTGTTGTTCATAAGCTGAGTGTGTTTTTTGTTTAATGTTTCATTTTTTATACATATACTATTAAATCTCTCAATATACTTATTAAAACATTCACTTAAGCATGTTCCTAGAAGCATGATTAAAACGATTATATTATTTTTATAACGTAATTATATAATATTTTCTACAATTCTGTTTCATTCCAATCATACACATGTATATTCAGCTAAATCACAACATTTCTTATATAAGTAATAAGTATATTAGTAAAAGATTCAACTTAATTCTCAATATTACAATCATATATTATTACAATATATTATGTATGTTGCATGATAAGTGTTGTGTTCTTTTCTAAATTATAACACTCGTATTCATTCACTTTCATTAAGTATTCGTACTCTATTTGTGTGTTGGTTGTTTACAGTTCCAAAGAAAAAGCAAGGTATGGGATCAAACGTGATGCTGGTAGAATATTCCTTTTCATCTACGTAGTCAATATAGTCTAGTCATAGATTAGACTTAGCGTTTTCTTTCTAATCCGATGCTAACACACGTCCGTACGTTCACAATATTATTATGACAATAATATTTTGCTTAGTAATAAGTAATAATAAGTTCGTTTGATCAGTCATCTCAGTAGTCAAAGTTGTAACTAAAGATATTGTTCTAAAATCATCAATAAAAAATGTATTTTATACACAATAAAAGAACGTTCGGACGTCACTATCTTTCTTCTCAATTCCTTTTCTATTCTTTCTTCTTTAGGTATACTTCATACCCACCTTCTTACTCAAATCCTAACCAACTAAAGCTTAAATTTTATAAGGTTACCTTGATACGTGACTTAGATTATTTTTCCGGGGTAACGTAGTAGTCCCAAAGGAGACTTGTTACAGATTCAAACGACACGAGTGTCTAGTTGCGACCTCGATTGAATTTCAACACCACTTAGAGGGAACCGACCAATTACTATAACGTTCATATCCAGCTTACATATCAACACCAGAGCATTTACACTGTACATTTAAAAGCTGATATACTTATAGTAAGCTATATGTGCTGAAATGCTAGATTATTAGTTAAATGTACACCCAAACCCCTTTAGACTAAAATTCCATATTGCTAAATTTTTCTTCGAATTATTTTTAGTGAAGATGTTTACGATTAAAATATGATAATACCCATACTAATGTGTTTGTATTTACAACAGGTTTTCTGAAAAGCAAGTCGCGTTCTGCCGGCAAGTGCGCGGATTTCTGGCGCGCTGAAAAACGGTTTCGGTTTTGGATCCGACACACGGTGAAGACGCAGTGGTTCTATTGGTTCGTCATCGTTTTGGTGTTCTTCAACACAATATGTGTCGCCGTCGAGCATTATAGACAACCTAAGTGGCTTACCTCATTTTTATGTAAGTATCTCGATCAATCAACAAGCGCCGCGGCTCGCGATCTTTGTTGTTAAGCAAGTTTCACAAGGGTTGGTCATGGAATGGGTGACCAAAAAGAAAATTATCTCGAGCTACTCCGTGCTTGGGAAGGCACTTTAAGCCGTTAGTTCGGGCTGAACTCGCAGTCGTTAATACCCTCCAACCGCAAAGAGCCAGCGTGGAGAGACATGGCATATCCTTTTTTTTAACGCTAGGAAATGCATTACGCGTACTCGCTTCGCCCTGCGCGTGATATACGAGTTATGTGGGACTCTCCCCTGCAGCCTCACCCTCAGAGTAAGAGCTAGTTAAAAAGCAAGGGCATACCCACTAAAACCTAGCGATGTTCGTCCGACATGAGCGACATACTGATTGTCCCTGAAATGGAACTACTTCCAACGCGGCTGGTCTATTGCCCATACTCCTTTATCATCCATAAGCAAGGCCTGAATCACTGCAGTGGGGACGTAAAAGAGCTGATGATGATGATCTCAACCAAATTATCTTCATCATGCATTTTGGTATCAGCCGATGTTAATGTCTAATAAAAATTTCATTATTGTTATAGACTGTGCCGAATTTGTGTTCCTTGGTCTCTTTATGATGGAGATGTGGGTGAAGATGTATGCACTGGGTCCGCGAATTTATTTCGAATCTTCATTCAATCGATTTGACTGCGTGGTTATCTCGGGGTCCATCTTCGAGGTAGTATGGTCAGAAGTAAAGGGTGGCTCTTTCGGCCTCTCTGTCCTTAGAGCGTTAAGACTGCTAAGAATATTCAAGGTTAGTAATATTTAAATAACTACACTTAGTCTCGATTTAAGTATTACTGTTATGACTTAATCATGATTAATTTGGATTATATTTCAGGTCACTAAGTACTGGTCTTCACTTAGGAATCTGGTGATATCTCTTCTGAACTCTATGAGATCCATCATTTCACTATTGTTCCTTCTATTCTTGTTCATCCTTATATTCGCGCTGCTCGGCATGCAGCTCTTTGGAGGTCAATTTAACTTCGAAGAGGGCACACCGCCCACCAACTTTAACACCTTTCCCATTGCGCTACTTACTGTCTTCCAGGTTGGTTATCTATTTAAATTAATAGCTAGTATGATTTAATGTTAAATTATTTTTAGTATAATGGTGATATTTTGTTTACAGATCCTAACAGGTGAAGATTGGAACGAAGTGATGTATCACGGCATCCAGTCTCAGGGAGGCATTCAGAGGGGGATGATCTACTCTTTGTACTTCGTTATCTTAGTGTTATTTGGCAACTACACTCTGCTAAACGTGTTCCTTGCTATCGCAGTGGACAATTTGGCGAACGCCCAGGTACTTACATAGTGATAGACTACGGACATTGCGTTGAATCATCAAAGATTCTGTTAAAAAATTATCATCAAACAAATCTGCGAATGATTCGAAGCTTTATTTAAGTGTCGTGTACAAAGTGACAATAATGTGAGACAGTGTTGTGTCAATGCTCACTTGTGATTTGGAGGCCGCTTCTCGCGTAAATGTTGCCTTTCTATCTTTCCAGGAGTTAACAGCGGCTGAGGAGGAACAAGTTGAAGAAGACAAGGAGAAACAGCTCCAAGTAAGTCTGCTTAAATTTGTTTGTCACGCTGTATACTAGAATGTTAAATTCATTCTCTGATGCTTTAAACTTTAGTTGATAGTGTCACGATTTCAATATCATAGCATGTTTAACCACTCTTCCACAAGCATTTATTATCGAGCGGTTGTTGTATGGAAGATTGGAAGTGTTCTTTTGGTGGATCGAAATTTGTATTTCATACGACAACCTCTGTTTCGGCTGATTAGGAATTGGAGAAAGAGATGGGTGCGTTACATGCGGTGGATGGCACTCCACCTGGAGTAGACTTAAGTCCCTCGTCCCCAGCCAGTAGGAAGGTAAACCCTTAACGAACGGTGGTGCTAAGCTCTGCTTCGTTGTATGCATTCATATCGACCCCTTAAAATATTGTTGATAGAATTTTCTATTTCTACGCCATTACGACTCCATCGGATTCCAATACATAGCATGCATTTGCACGTGAATTTATTTAATTTGTGTACGTTTTCATCTCGCTTTATTCACAGATCAACAATATTTTAAAACATTAGTTAATATTATGATGAAATGCTCAATGTCGCTTTTGTTGGCCAAATGTTACTACTAGGTGTTATTTTATACATATTAATGTATTACATGACTAAGTGTGATTATAGTAATACTTATGTATCTCAAATGCTATGATTCATATCTGTACAAATTACACCAGGAAAACGTCTAGTTTTATCTTAATTTAAAATTAAGTTTCATTTCGTTCATAGGCTATTAATTGTAACATGCAATAGATGGAATTTGACTTTTACTTTTTAAAAATTTGCATGTTTTAGATTATGCTGATTAGTACATTCAATATTATTTTAAGACGTTTTTATTAAGCTAACGTACTTATTTCTAGTGGATATGATTTATTCGATAAATATTTGTGTTAAGTACTCCATTAGTTTAGAAATTATCTAAATGTGAGTAGGTTTTATTCAAAATGTATGTACTTATAGTAACGTGTAGTATGCTAATTTTACTACTACTTTCAGAAATATTGCAGTTAATTAGTAATAACAGTTTACGCTTGTTATAACATTGTATAGCTTTTAAAAATCATCTCGAGACAAACTTGTAGATTGAGTTGGTCCTAACTGCATCTATTTTAACCCCACACAAAATAATTTAACAAGGATTTCTTTAAATCATATGGTGGTGGGAAAAGCTTTTTCTTTTGAAAGTTTCCTACAAGTCATTAAAATTTTGATAGAAACAGATGCAATCACGTTTCAGAACAAAAAGAAAGAAGAGGCCAAAAAAGAAGACGATGAGGAGATACCAGATGGACCAAAACCAATGCTGCCATATTCGTCCATGTTCATTTTATCACCTACTAATCCGTAAGTTATTTTGTGCAATCCTTTGTGAGGCTTTTGGAAAATCAGAATAAACATTAGGAAAACAGAGTACATACTGTACCTATATACTTTTGGGTATTATACTATATATATTTTCTCTTATCTTCTTGTTTAGTCTTGAATGATCCTTTATATTTAGATTTATAACTTTATTCCAGGAAAACTGTAATTGACATTACATTAGGAAACTATATAACTTGTATTTGACTCCAAAGATTATGCTGTGGAATTCCTGTGACAAGTACAATAAAAAACATAAAAGATATTATACATTTATTTTGTTTCAGAATAAGGAGAGGCGCACACTGGGTTGTAAATTTAAGATATTTTGATTTTTTTATTATGATAGTCATATGTCTGAGTTCTGCGGCTTTAGCAGCTGAAGATCCAGTTTATGAAGATAGTGAAAGGTAAGGTTAAAAATATTAATATAGTATAGTATGTAAAAATACCATATATTAATTGTCTATTTGTTTTACTACAGGAATACAGTATTGAATTGGTTCGATTACGCGTTTACGGGCGTATTCACCGTGGAAATGCTCCTGAAGATTGTCGATCTGGGCATATTGTTCCACCCAGGCGCGTACTTGCGCGACTTGTGGAACATAATGGACGCCACGGTCGTCATCTGTGCCCTAGTCAGCTTCGGTTTCGAGATCGGGTATGTCATCTTAGCTTTATTGTAAAATATTAAACTCGTAGTGCCAAAATATAGGTAATTCGAACACTTTGACATTATTAAGAATATATTTTGATTATCCACTACGTGTGCATCGACATTTTTTTAAATATCACCAAAAATATTAAATACTAGTATAAATACTATTATATTTTCATAACATTTATGAAATCTTTAAAATTTATAAAATTCTCTTATTATTTAATCCATGAGTCTAATCATATGTTTTTGTTTCAGAGGTTTTCAAGGGGCGGGGCAGAATCTGTCCACTATAAAATCATTAAGAGTGTTAAGAGTGCTTAGACCATTAAAAACTATAAAACGTGTACCAAAGTTAAAAGCAGTGTTTGACTGTGTTGTGAACTCTTTAAAGAATGTCATCAATATTCTCATTGTGTACATATTGTTTCAATTCATATTTGCTGTAATTGCAGTTCAACTTTTTAATGGTAAATTTTTTCACTGCAACGATATCAGTAAGAATACATTTGAAGACTGCCAGTGAGTATATTTCATTCGCATTTATCTTTAAAAAGTAGTAAAGATTTGACATATTCTAGTATTTTAAATGTTTACTATAATAAATTATTAGAAATTCAAATTTTATAATAATTTTTGCACGCTGCAAAGGTTTTTGAACTTATATCACGTTTACAGAGGGTCGTATTTCGAGTACGAACCAAACAGCCTACTGCCCCGGATATGCCCGCGACAGTGGATGACGCAGAACTTCCACTATGACAACGTGGCTTCGGCGATGCTCACGCTGTTCGCGGTGCAGACGGGCGAGGGATGGCCCCAGTAAATATAACTTTCATAATTTATCCATAGACAATATTATTTCATTTTTTAAGATAACGTTTGAAATTTCAAATTATATATTTATTTAACTTTGAACAAATTATCAATATTATTAATTTTGAATTTCAGAGTATTACAAAACTCGATGGCCGCTACGTACGAAGATAGGGGACCTATACAAAATTTTCGAATAGAAATGTCCATATTTTATATCGTTTACTTCGTAGTGTTTCCATTCTTCTTCGTCAACATATTCGTAGCTCTGATAATTATTACATTTCAAGAGCAAGGTGAAGCTGAATTGCAAGATGGTGAAATTGATAAGAATCAGGTTAGTTTACATAAAACTAGAACAAGGCAATTTTGCATAAACTATTGGTTTAACTCGAATTTGTTTTTTTTTTCAGAAATCATGTATAGACTTCACGATAGAAGCGCGACCTCTCGAGAGGTATATGCCAAGCAAAAGGGCGAGTTTTAAGTACAAAGTGTGGAGAATAGTAGTCTCTACGCCCTTCGAGTATTTCATCATGACCCTCATCGTGCTAAATACATTGTTGCTCATGATGAAGGTATGTATTTAAAAATATTCAATGTGGTAGATTTCATTTAATTAAATTAAGACTTATCGTAAGGCAGACTAAGTGAATACATTCCTCTAGGTACAGTTACAAAAAAAAACATAAACACAAATAAGTGTAGCACTATAAATGTGAAAAGTAGAAACGGTCACTCTCCAAGGTAGCTGAGAGATAGCCTAAGTCACAGGCACAACAGTGAAGACTTAGATTAGGTAGTGGATGAATCCACAACAACACCGAAAAGCTTGCACAAAACCTCACTAGAGATGATTTGATGAATTCTGTAATACCCGAAGCAGTATCCGTAATTCCTTAAAAGTGAATCATTTGTATACGTTTTAGCACTTTTAACCCTAAATAGAGTATTTAGTATAAGTAACTTTACATTAATGGCGATATATCTTGTGAGGCTACGAGATGCAATAGCTATTATTATTGGCGAAACATTAGTACTGCCTATAATATCACCACGTACCACACACAGACTATAGGATTAGACACTCAAACAGATAAGTAACTACAAAACAACATTGTAACTATATATCGAACACATGACAACGGAATGCGGCGTGTCAATAAATGAGCCAATCCCAATGAGTGTACCGGCCAAAATATATTTTTATCCTGTGTTTTTTGAGTATCCTTCGTGACTCCTTGCTTGTTGTTTATTTATTACATGTGATTGTGTATCAGTGTTTATTGCACGGTATACCTGTCCTCCCTACACCTTTACGGCACCAAAAACACATAATATTTGATCGGTTATTTGTGCTTGTGAATGCACACCATTTCCGGGAACAGTTAGGCTGTTGTAGCATGGGCCATATATGTTGTTCGTGTTGCATGACGTTATTTAAGATCTATCCCTAATTGTCTTTATGTGGATTTCTTCATTCAGCATGCTTGGTGGAATGGCCTACTGCCAGGCGTGTAAACCGGTGGCTAATAGCTGCTTTATATTTTTATTGAAAATTCAAATATTTAATACCTTCTTCTCGATGTTCTTTAGAAACGAAAAATTTAATTAACCAACCATCTTATTATGTCTTACTATGGTAGACACTTTTCTATATAATATTCATATTAAAATCTCTATAGAAGTTCCTACGTACAAAAAAATATTAGCAACAGAACTATAAACTTCTTGTTAAACCTTGTTTCATTTACTTGTCCCTTCTGTACGATTAGCACGTGTCCTAACCAAGTCCATATGATATCCTTTTCTTCATTTATCCATTTAACTTGTGTTAACAAAAACGTATTCTATATGAAAGCACTGAACTGATTTACGTACCCACATCATCTCTATACAATATCCATTCTTTACATCACAACAAAACTTCTTAATTTCCAATACCTATTGTATGAAATAACGAGTATGTATTTTCATTGCCATGGGCTTATCCAATACTCCCGGCACATCTTCTCAAAATGGCAGTACTATAATCAAAATGACGTCTACGCGGATGTCCTCAAGTATTCGAATATGGGGTTTACTGGAATGTTTTCTGTGGAAACAGTGTTGAAAATCATCGCTTACGGTGTCAAAGTAAGTACGCAGGCACACAATTTGAACTGACACTACAACTATCTAACAAAGAATTAATAATTAACCACAGGTACAAATGTACTCTTTCTGTTATTAACATGATTATTTTGTCTATTTACATGGCTGTATGGGAATATTTCCAGTCGAGAAAATATCATCCCTTCCCAAGTATCCAAAACTGATTTCTCTCTAATACTGTTGATTATGATATTAATTTATTTGCGTATAACTGTTAAGCATGGCTTCCTACTTTTGCATGTAGCACTTACACGCTTATGGTGAATACTTGTAAGTGATTTATTTCTTTAACGCACTGACATGAAGACAGGTAAGCCAGTGTGATTGCTTTGCGAACATGGGAACGCGTGTCTACGTTTTACAGCTAACAGTGGTAAGTGGATTCATTTGTTTAAACAGCTAATATGGATGACTGTCGTGATCCCTATGCATGTTTGTACGTCTGTTTGCATGCAGCACGTACACATTTTGCCACTGAACTATTTATACATGACTATAGACTAATACATGTTATTTGGGCTCAAAACGGAGACGATCAACCAGACAAGACACGCATACATACACACACAGGCCGCCACACTCATCGTTACAAAATAGTACTTATATGAGAGTTAGTTTCTTATACAGAACTAGCAAAATTGGTTAAGATTTTAATTTTTTAGATTAAATTAAAACTAAATGCTAGAATTGATGATACCTTAAAAGTAGTATTTTGAATTGAATAATTAGCTGTAGTGATCATATAGCATTATCCACGTATTTTGTTAACGATATCTGGCATTTAGTTTCCACATAATTTGTAAAGATTTCCGTTAAAGTAAAAAAATGGTATTGATTTTGTGGTAGTTTCACGAGGGTCCAACTCAACTTATGGACACGTTAACATTCATGAACCTCGTCTTTACGTTCTTCTTCCTACTCGAGACCATATTGAAGCTGATTGCCTTCGGATGTACGGTAAGAATGAACAATTTGTTTTGTATTAGTTTAATATAGTCGATGATTAATGTTACTACGATTCTACGTATCATTTTATATTTTTGTGATAATCTGGTACATTTGCCTTTCATAAATTATGTACAACCATACAAACATTATATACCTTACAGATATTAGTGACCAAAAATATATTGATTTATTTTATTGGTGGAGACACATGAGGTAGAAAGTTTATTGTCGTCATTTTCATTTTGAAATATGTAAAATTATAATGTTTGTATAAAGTAATGCCGAAACACATTCTTTATTTTATAAATCTTAGATTATTAGCTATTAATATTCAATATTGACTTGAATATTTTAACGCTAGAATTCGTAGGTATAGGAAGTTTACTTATAACGCTTATTTCAACAAATGAATTTTAATAGTTTTATAGCATTCAATACTTAGATTCATAAGCAAAATATTTGTTTGAACATTAAATAGATTTTATTTTGAGAGAAATACCCTGTCCCCTTTCCTGATACAAAACAATCCCTCGAGCATATATCAATAAATAGAAAGTGTACATTTGTATATAATGTATGATTCAATATTGTCTTTTGAAAACTTTTGACCTTAGCTTTGTTTTGTCTCCCGGTAATAATTATATTATTTAACAAATGTTTTATTTACAGAATTTTTTCAAAGATCCGTGGAATACATTTGATTTCATAACGGTCATTGGAAGTATTATTGACGCTCTGATCATGGAATTTGGCGTGAGTACCATCACTTGTTTAGCTGTAATTTAAAGCTTTTGATTTTCATTTATCTCTTACTATTTCTTTAAAACTTTCCAATGTATTGTGAATTGTATACCGTTCTCTGTTCTACTCTATGACAAATAAATATATAATTAAGAGGAGAACAGAAAACGAAATAATCCACGTTATATCGAGTATCGATTTGAATAATAGGCACGGAGCCTGTTTTGCTGGCGATTGCATTTTTTAACTATGATATGACCATAAAAGATATACTTAATCCTGATTACAGACCGACCTCGCCGAAAACTGTGCTGACATATCCTGTCAGCAGGTAACAATATAAAATTTGATTGCTAGGAAATTTAGTGTTGTTTTATAACTAAATTGTGATTGGTATTAGAGAATATGTAAATATTTGAGAACAGTATCGTTAAAGTAGCGCTAGACAAAATTAGAATTAGGATCCATAGACATTTTGTAGAAATAATAGGTTTTTTGATACTAATTAAAGTCCCTAGTAGGGACTCTTCATTGTGGCGTTGTTTAGATATTATGACGAAATAAAATTATTCATAACAATTTTAAACTATTTTAGTTATTGTGTCATGTATCGGTATTTATGATTTAATAATAATAATACGTCGATGTAGATATGATTGAATAGACACAAATTTGATTCGAGTTATAGTGTTCATTTATTATAAACTTATATTCAAGATCTTAGCTCTAATTAAGTTACACATAATTATATAGAGACTCATTTAAGTGTTGTAGATAACATAGGTAATTATTTTTATCTTGCTACAAAAATATCAAAAGCTTTAGGTGATTTTGATCAATTGTGTAACAACATAGAAAATTTTCTGTAGTAAATATTTTGTAAAACATTTTGATTATGCTAGTTTTAAATTGGATTTTTCTAAGCTTTTTATTAATTATATAGTATTTATTTCCTTTTAAACTGAAATCGTTCCATTATCATACTATAGTAAAAGCAGGCTAAAGTTTTCATTTATTCCGTTAGTAATAAGTTTTATGTACAATTTTAGGAGAACACGTTCAACGTTGGTTTCCTCCGCCTGTTCCGGGCCGCGCGACTGATCAAGCTGCTCAGACAGGGTTACACCATTCGGATACTCCTCTGGACCTTCGTGCAGAGTTTCAAAGCCTTACCCTATGTGTGCCTTCTCATCGCGATGTTATTTTTCATCTATGCCATCATCGGGATGCAGGTCTGTGAATTCATTCCTTCTATTTAGAGCCTTGGGTATGTGGAGATCGAAACAACTTAAAAATAACTTAATTTCCATATGATCGGTATTACAAAGTAACAAATTAAAATTATACTTTCGCGTATTAGCGTTTTTAATTCAGTCTATCAAATTGTATAGAAAAGTAGTAATAGATTCTTCCTGCGTAGTTCTGGGGCTTGATAATGGTAGGCTCGAATAGTTAATAGTATTGTCCTCATGCTCGTTATCTAACCTTACATCAAACACTGACCTTAAAAATATTTCCCTAATTTTAAAGTTGACTTGTTCCCAAGAAATCATTCAATTACAAATACACCCGATGCAATTAGTTCTATCTACCTACATTAACATGAATTTGGAGGCTTCCAACAGCAGACTTGGAGGCTGAAAGACGTCATGGACACTGACACGTTTCTAATGGCAGGTTTTCGGAAACATCCAATACGATCCAGACAGTGCCATCAACAGGCACAACAACTTCCGATCTTTCGTGGGGGCACTCTTGCTTCTATTTCGGTGAGAGTATTTCACGCGTAGTATTACCGACCTTATAACACGTCACATCGGCGTAGCCACCTATTGTATGATACAGAGCGGAACGCTCTTACAATTTTTAGCGCATGGCACACAAAAATTGGTCGGAGTTTGCATCCTGTAACTCGGTTCATTCTCGCGGTCACTGCCGAAAATCTGTCTATACTATCAGTGTTACATGTACCAATATTACATCACAAAACATCCCAATTTAGTAATCATTAAAAAATTACAAAGTAGTTTTAGCAGACTTTTAGACGTTAATTGAATTATGATTGATCGTACTCAGCATTAAAAATGCATCTTCGTATTAAACCTTTGCTTTCATATCTAGTACTAGAAATAGACACGTTATGTAGGTAGATTCTATTAGTTTGTATTGTGCATTGGGGTATGGAGCATAGGGTATTTGGATTACACATTCAATTTGCACATAATGCTGACTCTCTGTTATATCTGCTTGGACACAGGTGTTTGGCAATATAGAGTTATCACCCGAGTCAGATTTGAACAGACACAACAATTTTCAAAGCTTCATTCAAGCACTCATGCTGCTGTTCAGGTAAGCAATTTTTGATTAGTTCACACATTACTTTACAAAATTTTTCGTTACCGAACACTAACAATCTAATTAAGATAAAAAGTTACGGCTTTGGAAGACGCTTCTAACATAACAACATTTAGAACGCCATTAATGCATGCAAAAATATAAAACAATCACAATTAATTTCTGACACGTAGAAAATATACTTAGAACTGGTACAAAATCTCATAACGTCGTTAACCAAAATTATTTAACTTCATTAATTATAAAGAAGAATGAAGCAAAAGTTTCAACTGTGTTTGTACGTGTCATATGATTGAATGCCATTCGCTGTGAGCCACTGTATGTCCAGATGCGCGACTGGAGAGTCATGGCCAAACATTATGTTGGCGTGTCTCAAGCCGGCGAAGTGCGCCAAGACCCCGGAGCAACCCGGCAAGTCAACCAACGAGATCTGTGGCAGCACCCTCGCCTACGCATATTTTGTATCATTCATATTCTTCTGTTCTTTTCTTGTAAGTAACATTATGTTGATTTTTATTGGAAAATAAATCTTGTAACTTTCAGTCGCATCTCTGTTATTTGCCTTTGTATTTAATATAGTGTACTTATTATTGTAATTATTATTATTTCCAGATGTTGAACTTGTTCGTTGCCGTCATTATGGATAACTTCGACTATCTTACAAGAGATTCGTCCATTCTTGGCGCACATCATCTTGATGAATTTGTTAGAATATGGGCCGAATACGATCCAAACGCTACGTAAGTATTTAATTAATTATATATACAACATAATTGATTATAAATATATTCTTGATGAATAATTAGAGTTGCCTTGGAAACCGTAAATAAGTATAGTAATAATGAAATGAATGATTTCAGTGGAAAGATCCATTATACTGAGATGTATGATATGTTGAAAAATATGGATCCACCATTGGGGTTTGGTAACAAGTGTCCAAATAGACTAGCCTATAAGAAGCTAATTAGAATGAATATGCCGCTAGATGAAGAGGGAAAAGTTAATTTTACAACAACACTATTTGCCTTAATTCGGGAAAACCTGAACATCAAGATGAGATCAGGTTTGATAAATGAATATTATATAACTAATAACAGCTTTTATTTCAATTGAGGCTAATAATCAATGAATAAAAATTTTACAGCCGAAGAAATGGACCAAGCAGATGAAGAACTAAGAGAAACAATAACTCACATATGGCCACTCCAAGCGAAGAAAATGTTAGATTTGTTGGTGCCTCGAAACGATGTACTTAATGCAGGGAAACTGACCGTGGGAAAGATCTATGCGGGACTTCTGATATTAGAAAGTTGGAGATCCACTAGGTTTGGCCAAACAGAACCACAAGGTGTTCCGGTAAGTACACGCTTCTTTTCTCATTGCACCTATATATTTATATATATGTATATATAAATTCAAATCTTGATCATTTGATCTTTGTAGTTATAAATGAAGCCAGAGTAATTCGTGTGGCTTTTGCCTAATGTATATCTAAATATAATATGTTCTGTAAATTTTGAGCCAAATGTAACTACATAATTATGTGGGTAGGTAATACTACATGTTTAAGAGTAGTGTTTGTTGATGGTCCCTTATAATTTACCCCCACATTAGATTACAATTTGAAACATTATAGTTAGTCAATAGAGTTGGTTGTGTTGTCTGTGGATGTATTGTTGTGTTCATTAACGATCCTTAAACGTTTAAAATTCAACACGTTTGGTCAATATTGTCGTCAAAATTATGAATTGGCTCAACGATGTTTAAACATTCGACTAAGAGAACAACAATACAGAGTCACTTTAGAATGAATCGACTCTAAAGAGTCGTCTACATTGGTGGTTTACTTTTCAGGCATTCAACGAGAATAGCCCTACGGCCATACAGCCGGTAGTATTAATATATTTTACGGATCGAAACTTTGACTACTTTTTTCTTGCACTATTCTAGATTTTATTTTTTTGTTTTATCATATTAACTCTCGCATCTTGTTTGATTGAGTAACTATTTCTAAATTGAAAATGAATATACGCGATTTAACATATCAATGAACAATATATGGTCAATTAAAGAAATTCTCTTAAATTGATCACTGATTTATATTAACGTAGTTTAGAAAGTCTACTTATTAAAAAACTAGTTTTAGTTTTTTTTATTGACGCACTTGATTTATATTGGCTTTGGCAAACTTGTGCGCGTCCTGCACATTTTTGTCGATCAAGTGACCGTCAGGGCTTCGTAAACCACGACATAGTGACCTGTCCTATAGTTGCAAAATATTTAGTACTTAGACGAGTGTGTCTGCATTGAAGGTTTTGATTGAATTTGTCAAGTAGTGTTTAGAAGTTTGTCATATTTGTAGTTTGTTTGTCTTCCCAATTTGTGTCGTCCAACTATTCCATTTACCGCTCGATCTTTTTAGCGATACCTTTACACTCTGCATTGACTTTTACTTTATGACATTTTAGGTATCATTTTCATACTTTTCATAGGACTATGCATGGTTTTCCTTGAGATTGTTTTCTAACTATATATTGATGACGATTTTATTTGTATTTTAGCTTTTCTGGGTGTTATTTAACATTTCGTTTTAATTAGGTACATTTTGGCTCAATCAAGAAACCATTTTAGAAGCCTAAGATAAAAGTTTCAACATACTCTGCTTACATGCTGTTCTTTTTGCCATTTCTTGTATTTTTGTACCGTATCTTATAACGAAACGATGACTCAGATCTGCGCATGCTGGTTAATTAAAAAACTGGATTCCAAAACTGAATGCACTACTGAATTCGCTGGTATATCTCGCCTCTGGCTTCAATCCTGCACATGATTTTATAGCACTTATTTTTAAATTTCTAAATTGATAAAAGTGCTTTGTAATTTACAGCTCTTTATTTATTCTGATCTAAATGTAATACATTTATATTAAATGATTCTTAAATATCTCTACAACGAACTAATACTAAACAGAATTTCACTTTACATGCTACTACTAATTTTAACAAGATTCTTCTCAGATATTCCAAACTGTATTTATCTTCACAACACAGAAACATTTGCTTTCTATTGTGTCCATTTGTTGGAATTCTCACACACGACAGACACACACTGGTAACACTAAAGAACTCCAGCATGGACATGATGTATGGGATTGCGCAAACTCATGTAGGCTTTAGCCGTTAGTTGAGTTCAAGGGGTTTGAGCATTATATGACATGAGCGTGCGCAAGTGTCGGTGGGTGACCGAATGCCTGGTGCAGAAGGCGTCATTCTTTAACTGCCTCCTGGATGTGGCGGCTGGGCTGGGCCCTGGAGGCTCACGTGCGGGCTCTCTCAGCCACGAGGGTCCCGCTGTAGCAGCTACAGAGGCCCACGCAGATGACCCACATACACTAGCCAACCTCGCAAGACGCAATACAAGAAAATCACTCAAGTAAGTTTATTAGATCAATAATTCTTTTAAAAACTGAACATAATTGTATCTAGGAAATTTAATTAAAATGTTACACCCGTAAACATTTTCTTGTTTATTTAAAATAATGTAACGAATAAAAAGAGATACATCTATTTTGAGCAAAAGATCAAATTAAAAAAAAAACAATACCTCAGCCTCAGTTCATTTAATTTTTCTAATTTATATTTGGAGGTTGGTAAAATGAGTAAACTTATATATTTTCTCATCAAAATAAATAGACATAAAATATCAAGTGTAATTAACAATCACTAATCTAAATTATCCGAAAATACGTAGACATGAACATTCCTATTAAAATATAAGTTATTCTTATAACAAGTTTGGTACACGCAACACAACTTATGCATCATCTTGAAATTGGTAAAGTTATTTATAAACCAAAAAACCTAATATTTATTACGTTATTTATGATTATATCATCATATACTATTCTTTATTTTAACAGATGCACCGCAGTTGTGTCGAATATTTTATTAACATCCTGTGTCTTTTGTTACAGGAACAATAAAAAGGTGAATACCTATCGAAATACGATGAAAATGAAATCGATCCTAAATGTCGTACTACCCTCAATCAGACGCTAACGATAGCTATTGTCAAGTGCAGTCGATGTTCCCACCACTATCACTAGAAAACAAACCAAAATTACCATATTTCATGATTATTATAGATAAATATAATATAAAGTACTTATCATTGGCAAACCTTTAGATGATTACCAACGTGATGTTGTGGGTTAAGATTTAATTGTTCATGTATTCGCTAAATGGGTGTAATTTTAGAAAATTATACATCGATGCATTTGCATCTGTCATAGATTATAGTCGATGTTGTAAATTATTTTATGTTCAGAGCTTTGTTTGAGTGTTTAACATGAAACGAATAGATTTACTAATGTACTTGTTGTTCTTGATAGATAAATGTGTCTAATAAAACAACAGAGTTTGTTTTAGGTTAACTGTAATAAGAAGTATTTTAGGGCCTTAGGCTCTTTTAGTGTACATTCATTGGTGCCGTAATATAATGGTAAATATCTTAAATTTTCAATCATTGATGTTTAAGTTCCAGTTTTCAGTAATATAGGGTACATACATTGGATACATTAAAGTAGTTACTATGTTAGTTTTTTGTATCTCAGAATAATATTTCGATATAATAGATTTAGTGAATGCCTTTGAACAAATTTTTGGTGGTTTTCTAAAGATATTTATTACATAATCAATATTTATAGACATAGCACAATCACGATCAGTACAATACATTTACATATCAGAACATTACCTTACCTCAGTCATAATATCTAACATGACACCGAAACAGATTATAACCAATATATCTAATTTAGATCTTGCATGCATAATAAAGCATGTGATGGCTTATGTAGATATTACAGGTGAGTATCAAAATTTGATTCAATAGAAGTTTTGCACAGGCACATTTGTTGCATGATTGAAACGCAAATATTCGCACGGTGTGCATGTATTTTAGCCCAAACAAAATGATTTTGTAAATATGGGACAGACTTTAGAAACAATGATTATTAACTAAGAGCACAATTTCAATGTCTAAATTGTAGTAATATATATCCGTCTAATAGTGTCATAAGTAGAAACAGGATTTTTTATTATATTGTATGTTACAGATATAGATAGATTATATATTGGGAAATGATGAAATTGGCCTTTAGTTATGTTGTCGACAATGTCAAAATTTTTCCAACTTCTAACCTAATATATTTTTAGGTATTGGAACTTCAAGGATCACAGCACGCATCCATGGAGTCTCTGGATGAAGGGCATTTACAAGCACCTCACGCATACCAGAATGGTCATGGAAGATCTTCTAGTTTAAGGTATTATGAATATGAGTCAGATTTGTAATTATTTTATCATTTGATTTGATTTTTATTTTGTTATTCCTTTAAATTTTATTTTGTAGTGCCATCGAAGAAGAGATTGATCTCAAAGTAATCGTAGTGAAAAATGGTATGTTCACCATGCACGCGTTACAAGTAACCAAAACCAACTAACCATAATCTTCGTACTCTATCCTTATCTAACTTACCCGAGAAATCTTATTTGAATGTTGCATGAACCCTTCCTTATAATATTAAGCTTAGCTAATAATCATACAATTAATAATTATTGTGACTCCTTATTTACAGACGAACACCAAGTCCAAGAAGACGAGGTTACTACGGAGGCTACCATCATGATATCGGTTTTTCCGACACCGTCAACAACGTCGTCGAGATAGTTAAACATGAACATCAAAGGCACGGGCGAACACATCGGCCTCCACACCACTACCATCCACATGGTAAGCGCTTATTTATAAAAGAACATAGCTAGAACTGCTACAAAACTGATATTAAGTTTTAAAGAAAAAGTAAGTCAAAGGTGAAATGTAAATCTGACAATAGGCGCTAAGCATACTCATTTAGTCATCTATGTATATAGAATAGAATTGAAAAATCTAGCATTCATAACTATTTTAATAAACCAGATTTACCATTCACTGGCTTTATGCTACTGCAAAAACAATTACAACATGATGTTCCTCAACCTTGAGATATAAGTTTGATTTTATTAAGCTTCCTTACGAGCTATATGCCTCTAAATTATTATTATATTTATTTTATCCTGTAGTATTCATATTGTAACATTTACCGTCAACATACCTACCCGTTTTGTTTAGCTTCAAATCAATCGAACCTAAACAGTTTTGCAAACATTTTTCTTCTCATGAAGGTACTCTGAAAGTTTTGTGAGAAGATGGGAAGGCTAGCTTACCAGTAGTCGTAGCTATTCGTATTTTCGTAGTTGTAGTTTTAAGATATTTCAAGAGCAATAACTGAGCTCATAAATTAGAAATATAGATTGTAATACCTAGCTATATTAAACATTTCCACAAAGCTAGTTTTGTAACTTTACGTAGTAGTTATTTAGCTGATACTGCTCATCTTAACAACAATGTTGCTCATATTGGAAATTGTTAGAAAATTCATAAATATTTATACCAACAGGCCACACTGTTCTGCATTTTAGATGTAAGTAAAAAACGTTCGAATAATTAATCAACGATAAAACAGACTGTTAAGCAAAGAACCATTGGCCATATTGTGAATAGATCGATAAATGTTAATGAAAAACTAAATTAATTTGCCTGCTGCATGCTAAAATTTGGTGCCGATTTGGATTCAGTTTTGCTCTTATTTGCACATGATAACTGCTTCATTCGTCGGCTCCACGTGGAACCGAAGGTGTCTGAGTCGCATGCACTTACCGATCCCACTTATATCATGCAGCATGCAAAAGCTTAATGATTTACGATTTGATTTCTATATTTTCCGCAGTAGTTTGCTGTAGTCACATACTTGTAATGTTATCAAGCGGTTCATATAATTATATTGTATCTTTTCAAGTCACAGTACTGTAAAACAATATATAGTCACTGGACACACAAATCAAAACAAATCAATTAATTGATACCCACTCCTCGCCTTTTTCTGTGTGCATATCAGCTCATACTTGGACCACGTTAAACAAACACCCCAAAACTTTTAGAGTCACCTTTGTGGGTAGGAAAAAGAACGGTATATCGACGGGCTTAGGCTTTAGCGTGGTGGAAGGTACATGAAGGTATTCCTGACAGCAGGGAAGGAGTGGAGGGCGCCGCACCCCACGACCAGCCTGAGCCAGCCCTCGCGGTCGCCCAGCCCGCCACACCACCACACCTACGGTGAGATCCACTCGCCACACACGTTGGGTCAACTTTGATATAAAAGCGTACAATAGATCATATAAGAGTACGCACTGAACAATTAAATTCAGTCAATTAGTTACTATTAATGCTATATTTATGTCCTTTTTTAACAAATATCTTTTATTAATATCTATAAAAATGTCAGTTCTTACTCTTGTACGTTTATATGGCTCATTGTTATAATACTAACAGAGAAACATTCACATCTGAAAATCCTTAAATACATAATACAACAGTCACACAATAGAATAAGGATTTAAAAAGTCGTGTTAAAAACTATATTCAAAATTTTTATCGACTTAAGATAAAATTGTAAAGCAAAGGGTCTTGTGGAACACATAAAACACCCTATTCATCCTAAGGGTGACTTGAGACCCTTTGCTCAACGTGTCTATGTTAGATGTTCGATAGTGACGGCGAAAGGGTGGAAGCTAATGAATGTGAGATGAGTAGAACGAACGCGTCGATTAAATATAAGAAAATTGTTTGCACATCTGTTAAACGTTATTCTGTATAATTTCATCACGACCCTGTTAATTTGCTTCACCTTTGATCATTCAATGTTTTCTGTGTTCGTCAATTTTGTATATAGCACAGTCGCCGAACAGAAAGAATTCGGTACAATGGCACGGTACTACTTATTTCTTTGATGCAACTAGCCAATGTTGTCATAGTAAAGAGAACCTATAAGGTTTGCGATATCTACCGGTAGGGACAAAGGTCAGAAAGTACGAAATTCTTTCTGTTCGGCGACCGTGCTGTAAAGCATTGAACTTCCATGTGATTCAAAGAGCAGTTTGGGCACCAATAGGTGGTGATAGGGAACGAGACAGGGAACGGGAACGCGAGTGGCGGGAATGGCGTGAGCGCTCGTGGGAACGTGAAGGCGCACGCCGCGGCCGGGGTAGGCAGCTACCCCCAACGCCCACTAAACCGTCCACGTTACAAGTCAAATCGCAACCGTCGTTCACTAGAATCAGCCACAGTCCCTCACATGTAAGTATATGGATGGTAATAAAAATGAAGATAATGAAGGATGGTTGTTAAGGAACCCTCGTAGGAAGCGGTTATAGGATGGAGACAAATCCGTACTGAGATGGATCATGGCTCATTGTCTCTATATTTGTCTTTACAAAGACCAATTCCTAACAAAAGGTACATTATTAGACTGATATGAGAATTTGATGCCTATGCCTAACCTCTTCTTAGAAATTTCTCAAAAATATTACCTACAAATACAAATGCTTTATATTATATTAAATTTTGTAACACAAGGAGGTTTTTGCTATACCAGGGACGCATTTGACTGTGCAAGTAGATACTCGAGAAAGAAAGAAATAATTAAAAACTTCTAGGAATAAAAATAAAGCTCTACTTGGAAAATCCATGGTGATATTAAACTAATATTTGGTAATGTTAGCGTGTGACTGAAAATTTATAATCTGTTTTAGTTATCACTGAGGCATACGGTGAGAGAACCCGTAGAGCCACTGCACGATGAATATGAATATGGTCGAGAAGTTGAAAGACTGATACACCGAGATTATAGATCTAGAGAGAGGTAAGTATTTCATTTAAATCTTTCATCAACCGAGTTTCCGATTCTTGAAATAATGATATTTTGATTATGATTTAGTTTTAACTGAAGAATTAACACTGAACAGAATTAAAAGGTAAGCGAATTGTAGATGCACTTCGAGTTTAACAATAATTTCTAATGATTTTTTTATTTACCTTCCTTTTTGAAAATTGTATTTGTAAGAGTAATAAAACTCTGTAACTATTGCAAGCAATGACAATAATTATTTTCTTTAGAAACCACTTGGAGCATTTTAAGCAAAGATTGATAAATATAAATCTTTTTTTGTGTATTTAGTCCCAAAGTTTAGTTTACTGTCAATTCCTTAAAAAACAAACTCATTAGAGTAAAAATCCGAATTCGAATTCACTCAAGTTTCAGAATTCACTTCGAAAGCTAATCTGCTTAACTTATATTAGTATAATAATTTTTGATACGATTTTTTTGTATAGAAAAACAAAACGTATAAATCAATCGATCTTTGATTGATTCATACGTGTCTCAGATATTCTATCCCTACGTCATTGCGAAACTCACTACACTAATCATCAATATCAATTCAAGATTATGCGAATGTCGCTTTCGAAGTGAATTCGGGCACCTGAGTGAATTCGATTTTTTACGAAATCAGGGTTGATCATAAATAAGTGAAGGAATTAAATGAAATAAATATCGCTATGCTCAAATTGAACGCTATCCGGATGTACAGACGCGGGCGGGGCTACGATTTGGAGCGGGGCGGGGGTGGGCGTGCATACGAAGCGCCACTGAGCTACGAGGCTGCGTTAGCGCTGGGGCGCGGGGGCGGAGCGCGCGCGCTGCCGTCTCCCGCGGGTGCGGGGCCCGGGCCCCCGGGAGGCACGCGGCTGCCCAACGGGTACAAGCCGCGCGCGCGCCACTCGGACTCGGACGAGGACGACTGGTGCTAGCGGCGCCGCCGCGCGCGCTCCCAGCGGGACGTGCGCGCGCCCCGAGCCGGCCCCCGCGCGCCCGCGCATACGTTCTGACGCCCGCCCCGCCGCCGCCTCGCACGCACTTTTTATACTCGCCGAAGTGTGTACATAGACGACTCTCGTTGCTCACCAGTTTGGACGTCCCTCCCGGAGTGGGACTCCCGCCCCGTCACCGCGACGGGCCTCCGCGAGCTATATCCAAATTCTAGTGTTTACAAAGTTTTGGAAAATTTAATTTTTAATTCGCTAAAATTTTACTCCTTGATTTATATTACGGTTAAGGTGATCGGAGCGCGGAACGGGGCGACGACCCGTTCATCATAGGATTTTTACATTTGTGAGACCGCTAGTACGTATGGTAAAGTTACGATACAACTCCGATGTGAGGCCGCCCCGCGGGGCGCACACGGGCCCTTCCGCTCCGCGCTCTAGTTAGACGTTGGAGGAATACTAGCGATTCATCGTCGAACAAATTAATACTAGTATTGTATAAAATAATAACATAGCGAATAATTTTTACTTAGTTAATATACTAAATAAATAATTAAACATTTTTATTGAATTTGCTGTCCTTCCCCCAAGTGCTTTATACCTACGTTATTTAAATACGATTATAACTAAATAAATTTATTATGAATTGTATGTACCTTTGAAAATATATCTCAGAATTAAATGATAACATACATTGTTACATCGTGTACTGATATTATTTTAAGAGATTTTGCTGCCTGGTTTAATGAGTGTGTTTTATATGCTACATGGTGTAATTGAAAATCCATTGAACAGCCAAAATGCAAATGTATATTAAAAGAAAACAAGATTAGAGAAACTAGTAAAAATTTATAATGTTCAATAATAAATAATACTAATGCAATAAATATTCTTACATCGACTATTGCTGTTCTAAGGTATTTTGCCCATCGACATGTCATATTAGTATGTATACCTAAGTATGATTATGTAAATATACCTATTCGTTTTAAATAACATAGTCTCACCATAGAAGTTCCGCTATAATTTAGGTGCATTTACTCGTATTGAGTGCAATAAAATATTTCCTAAGCGTTACGTCGATGGGCCTATCCGTTGTCGTGGGTTTCCAAATATTTGTAAGCATTGATTGAACTTTGAAATGCTTATTGATAATTTTTTATAGCAATATTGAAATTTAGATGGAACATACCTACCCGATGTTATAATTTATTTCTTCATTAATTTGGGACACAATCAGATTAAATTTCATACCAATATTGCACAAAAATATCGAACACATGACCATTATACTACCAAATAACATAAGATCACCTTCACCATTTCTTGCGAAACGTTTTCACGGGTAAAGTTCCATCCCAATACGACCATTAAAAAACCGCGATAACGGTATTTAAACAATAATGAGTAAAAGCCAGGCACAAAATCATAAAAAACAGCACGTCAGGTTACACAAAACTGACAAAACTCCATTTGATTTTATACCGTAATACGTTGCCAGTAGAGTTCAAAATTTTGTGGTAACCTGATATTGCTGTTGATATGTAGCAACCATATTGTGTAACATGTCATATTGCATAGAGGCCGAGTGCAAATAAAAATCGCCGCCGTTTTGTTATGCGACTACTTTACGTTGAACAACGTTGAGCAGTATTTTGGTGGCGACACATTTAACAAAGCGTCGTCCAACGTTTAGCCACGGTGTTTGTAAAACACAATATACGGTGATGATAATACATAAATAATTTATACATGAAATGTCGCTCGATCGACACTTGCGTTGTAGTGACAGTATTAACCTAATCTAAACTTAGGTATTCAAATTGACCTTCTGTTAAATTAAACTATCGAGATAAATTAGCAAGCATCTTGCAAAATTTATTTGTACTTTGAATTGTTATACCAATTAACATGTTTTTAAAAATATTAGTTTGTCAATTTAAGGAAATACTGTCTTTCGAATATTTGTCATATGAGTAATTTACGATACAAGAATAGTTTGTAAAAATTTTAACTTTATCGAGTTTAGATTTAGCTAACTTTATTTTTAGATTGAAGATTAGATTTAAAATTAAATTATCTAATGACAGGACACCGTGAACTTGCAATGATAAATGTAACTAATACTTTTAAAGCAGTGTATCGACGACGCCTGTTTGTATGTGGACGTCACATTACTAAGCCACTTTGACAAATGCAATGTGCTCATACAATGCGTCGTACTTATTTCAGAAGATTTGAACCCGGCTAAACGTAAAGTAGCCGTATTACAAAGCGGCAGCGTTTCTTAATTGGGCTCGTCTATATGTAACACGGCATGTTTTACGATTCCGCTGCGACATATACACTCACATGCAGAATGGATTTACAACTCTTAAAATAATACCATTTTTAAATAACAATAATTTATTTGTGTGTATTTAAACTTGTTTCAAAAGTACATTAATTGATATCACTATCAAACATTTTAGTAATTTATTATTGTTGTGAATCAATTCTGAAACTGAGTGGAACTATTATATAATCTGATAGCAATCGTCCTACTCCCATTAATAACGATATTGAAATCTAAGAAATATATATTACGCCATTGTCATTCTTAGTCACCTGTTAGATATTGTTTTTCACGCCACTGTCGTACTATCAAGAATTGAAGATATTAATCATTGACTCTCTCGCTAAGAAAATATCGAGATATGACGAAGTTAAATATTGTAATTTATTTACACAAAGTATTCTAAAAATAAAATCACATAAACTAAGCTAACCAACAGAATAACAATGCACCAAATGTGCACCAAAGAATACTAAATGAATACCAAAAACACAAAATGTTCACTAAAAATTATTAAACGTGTACCAAACATCACTGAATGTGCACAAAATCATGCATTTGAATTTACACTTGGTAATTTTAAAAGCGCATTTGGTATTTAGTGTTCATCATATATATATCTGAATAATTCATAAGGGGCCGTCCATTAATCACGTAAGGATCGAAAGGGGGGTTCGTCAAAAATCACGAAATAACACAAAGGGGATGGGCTTTAGTAATATAAAACGTGTATTTAATTTTCCTTAAACGCACGAACACTAAACTGAAATGCGACGTAATTAAGATTTGTAATAGGTACAACGTAATTTGGGTGGAGGAAGAAGGGGTAGTCTAAGGAGAGGGGGGGTTTAAAAAATGTTGAAGAAAACATCACGTGATTAATGGACGGCTACTAAAATAACGTTAGAAACTGTTAGATTGGCTCTGGTGCGTAAAAGTATTCTAGTGTAAATGAAAGTTAAAAGTGCAAATAAAAAAAAAACCATGTGATTTTCTGGAAAGTTTGCAAAAAACATTTTGGTGTTTATTTCTCTCTAACATACAAACAGAAAGATTGTGTCGTTCCAATTAACTAATTAGAAGTTATACTAATTCTGATTAAACAAATATTTTCATATTGCTGGTACAAATACTATTTTGTTAAAAAAGTAGGATGTTATGATGTATATAACCTTCATTTTATTGTTTACATGATACAAATAAATTTTTTTAAAGCCCACCTTACAGCTTAAAAAAAAATGTATTTATATTACTACAGTGGCGCATAAAACAATTCGTTCAACACCATCAAATACATTTGTTGCAAGGCAAGTAGGTTATTATGTATGTACGACACTTTAGTACGACAAAATTGTAAATACATGATTTTCTGTGATAACATGTGGAAAAAATGAGAATATTATTATTAGAAACTGTGTGATTGCCTAGGGAAGCTGTTCATTTTTTTAAGAGTCCGTGCTTTTGGGAAACGTTTGTCTAAAGACTTTATTGCACGACAGGTTCAGGTTTCAGGTTTTCTATATTACACAATAAGTTCGTTCGTATTTTCTTTTTCTAGAATCAATAGTCATATGTTTAAATTGTATTTTATGGAAAAACATACGTAATAGAATTCAAAGTCTGAAGGCTAGTTATTCCTAGAGGCGCGGAAAAAAATGTAGAATCCTTTAGTCGAATTGGATATTATATTATTCTCATAATTAATTTGATTGTTGTTGCTCGTTACGAAGGGAGGGAGCTGGTTGTATAGCTTTTATATTTTACCTCTGTTATAGTTATTAGTACAAAATGTCTATGCCGCAAGGGACTTCTAGAGTTAGGTACGTGCAGGACTGTCTACGATTCCGATTCATGACTTGTATATTCGATAAATAAACTTTAATATTCCATTCACGAATAACTATTATTTTAACATTTGACATTACCGATGGTGTACTGAATTGCAGCGCTAATCTAATTGTGTATTTTATAATTGTATCGTTTCCAAGTATTCGCCCGTCGGATGCATGTCCCAGAATTATAAATTGTTGCCCTCGAACTCGGAGTGTTTAGATTTCTTCTATTGTAGATTTTATTGTTTATCGATATTGACTCATGAAGAATATTTATATTGTTATTGTATAGACGTACGAGTATTTTTGTTTTGTCATTTGTAATTGGGGTGTTAGGATGATACAATAAGCCGATGGACTTTCAATGACTGAGTGGTATAGTGATACAGAGTGCGTCCCGCTTTAGTGTTTGTGACTCCCTCGTACATACATGTTTCACATACGTGTAATAAGACTTGTAAATATTGTAAAATATTACGCGACCGTTGTGTAGAGGTCGTCTGTGAAAATGTCTAGTGATATGTTACTAGTTATCTTAATGTTAGCTAGGTAATCTCGTCCCCAACTGTCCTTGAATTTAAGTTGGGTGTTTCACTGCCTTAAAATAATAATGAGATTGAAGTAACGGTTACATTTTAATAATACAGATAAGTGACCTCTCTATTATTCTTATAAGTTTTTTTATCATTCGACGATAAAAGCATCAAACTATTACGAGCACTAGAATTTACGTTGTCATTATTAATTTTATATCATAAGAACACATTTCGCTGGAACATGAATATATAAATAATACTAAGGGATCGAAATTGTTAAATTATTATAATAATAATAATCATGACTCTCTTAACTCACTTCCTGATTTACAAAAAGAAAACACAACTTTTCATACTCGACACTCAGCAGAAGCGTTATTTAGCCATGTGTGGTAGAAGTTTCCTAAAAAATAATACTTTCTTCGTTTATATAGACGCTAGTTGAATCTGCCGATCCGATAATTTGATATTATAATACTGAAGTGAGATAAGAAAGTCTTAACCGAATAATGTCTGCCTTGTATCTATGTAATCGCTTCATGACAATCATGTTTTGTATTTAAAACGTTATTTATTATTGCATATTTAGCATAGAAAGTTCATCGGCATCGAGAGAGCACCGTAGAATGTTTTTTTGGTACGTTCCAATAAATTTACAGGATAGTGCGATCCTATTGATATTGTATTAATAAAGAACCAAACTTTAAAAATTAGTATTTAAGTAATTTATTATCCTAAAACTAAAAACTATACGCATGTTTTCACTATACTGGTAAAAATGGTTATGTACAATACGAAAGAGCTACTGTTTTATATATGAATTCTTGCTCGCCTGTAAAATTTTGCAGAATGAATCATATTATAAGATTGTACAATATGAATAAATGCAAAAAAGACATTTCCTCGATATTGTGTGCTTCATTCGTGTGCCTGTCCGTTTATACCGTGATTTTAAATGTTTTTTTTTTATGTCAATAATGACAATAAAAACCAGCGCGCATTGTTGCCGAAGGGGATTGCCCATCGAAGTATGGAGTTTAGTTTCATGTTGTATCACAATATAATATCTCGAAGTTTGATTAGTCGATAAATGAATTAAATACTGGCAACTGTGCGACACAATGACAAAAGTGAATAACGCAAGTCACAAACTTTCAACACTAAACTTTCTTATTTGCATATTTTTTCCAGCGATGTTGTAGCTTGTTTTTTTTTTCAGTTTGATAAAATCGGAAAATTTTACTGATTTACCTACATATTTAAGGGATGGAAATTCTATCGGATTAGATCAATAAAAGGAATAAATATAGAAACGTCGTAATATAAATACAATAATTTATTTGAATATGTCAAAATTAGATATTTACACGTTCGCTTCAGTGTTAAACAATCGGTGTCACTATAATTTAGTTAGGTAATGAAAGCAAATTTCACAGTGTTAATGTAAAGACAAATTCACTCACAGTATATGAGTCGTTTCCAGGATCTTTGTTTTTATTTACATCGCTTCATTCAGCGATCAGTTGTCAGATGAGTCGGGTACGTCAGTGTCGATGGAACTGATGTCGGCATCGATATCGCTCGCAGCACGGACGGGAAGTATTTGAGGATCCCCGCTAGAATTTAGAATAGCAGCGTTCCTTGAATTCATTGGACCTGGAAAACGATACTGTGTTAAGAAATTTCCATTAGCTTACACATGAGAGAAGGCGTTGCGTAAAACATATTTTTAATTTTTTCAATTTTTTATAAGATACGAACATTTTCGGTTATTTGCGGTGGTTTGCCTGAACATTGATGAAACGTTCACTAGTTCACGAAAAGTAATAAGTGATTGAATAATTAGTCAGTCCTGGATAGCTCAGTGGTTAGAGTAGTCACCCGGATTGCGAAGGTTGTGGGTTCGAGTACTTGGGGCTAGTGCATTGTGAACAATTCTATGCTATTCTTAATTTAATATGCTTAAAAAATCATAGACTAGTTATCTTTGAGTGCTTTCATAATATTATTATATATTTGATCAAATTTGCATGTAACTTGCATGAATGCAAATTTGATCAAATATATAATAATCTTTAATTACTCTCTTAAGAGTAATTAAAGATAACTAGTGCTCCATATTGGATTTAGTCAATTATTGTTTTCTTATTTCTTTTAACAAACAATTTAACTTGATGACAGTGTACAAAAAGACTGCTATCTTGCGCCACCCACTACATTAAATTTAAAAATGTTGTAACCCTGCGTTGCCAACCATACGTAAACTTAAACCGAACATATATACATACTCTAAGTTTTATTTAAATAAAAGCTACTCAAAAATAAAATAGAAAGTACCTTCGGCTGTAGCACGCGAAGTATCCGCTGCTTCGAAATGTGTTGGCAATTGAGACACGATAATCGAAGAGCTGCTAGCTGGTTCTCTAATTAGATCGTACGGCATCGTGAATGCGGTCGGATCGATCAGTATTGCCTGCAATTATAATGAAGTGGGCTCAATCATTTGTTACCCATTACATACATACATACATGGGGATACCCCTCTTAATTAAAAATAAATATCTGAAAATGAAACAGGGGCTTAATTATCTGATTTTAAAGTCTAACGCAATCCCTTTCAAGTTGATACTTGAAGATATTCACGAACATCACGCCACAACTATTTTACAAGTGATAGTGATTACGTTCGCAATGTGTAATTGAAAGATATTGAATGAAAGAAATCTTGACGTTAATTGGAATTGACTAAGGCAAGCGTTTGGCGAAAATATTACTTCAAGTTCAAGTTACAATTTTTTTTTGTGTTTCTCGATCGTTCAAATCATCACTCATTAGGATATTCTACTCTGTTTGAAACAGTACTTGTGAGTGTTTCTTTTAATTTAAATTAGCCAGAAAACAAATATTTCGGTATAATAAACGCTTATAATATTAAACGGTATAATATTGCCTTAAAATTAAATCAAAATTTTAAATTTAACATATACATCATTAACATAACGTCATTCGGTTATATATACAAAACAGGTGCATAGGATAATATAAAGATAATATATAGTAGATTAAAATATGTCAATGAAACAAGAACAGTGCTATCTAACGAACGATTACGAAATAAAAAGATATAAATAAATTTAGAACAGCGCCATCTAGGAATCTGATGTATAATAACGAATAAGTAATGGTTAATCTGACATCAGTCGCCAGAGTGACGACACACAATGGCTGGTCGTGTTTCAAGTCACGTAACACACACAAAAATCGACATTTATATTAAGATAATAAGATAATCATGTCATTTATGACCAGAGGTCGGAATTGGGTAGAGTTATTTATGTACTTGCATCGAAATGTTGATATTAATGTGGACCTCCCCGGGATTTCTAATGGACAATCTTGGACATCTTTGGACATCCGATGTCATTGATGTAAGTTTGGCAACGTCGTGCGTGCAGTAGTTTAAATAGTGTAAAAGTAAATAACTTTTTATTTAAAAAATCACGGGATTTTTTCTGCTCTTTAAAATTAATCTCGGGATTTGAGGCATATCCACTTTATTCTTTCGCTGTATGAAATCAGTGTAAGTACATGAATAACTCTACCTAATTCCGACCACTGTTTATGACACAAAATCAAAATCTCTGTTATTTAAGTTTTTGTGCATTTCATGACTTATTTTTTACTACCGAACCTACCCTATTTCATTAATCGCTATCGCAGTCGCTATACCTTTGAAACCAAATGCGATATATATTTTAAAATTAGACAATTACTTCAATAGACAAATTATACATATTATAACTCTTATAACATAAAATAAAGACTGTCACAGTTAAAGTTATAACATACTTAAACGGCAACCCTAAAATGAACTTGTCATATATTTGAATAGGGTTGACTAATTTTTGTTTGTTCTTCTGATCTGACTGACGCTAAATAGAATTTTAATTTTTGTTTGTCTGTTCGTCTGATCTGACTGACGCTTACTAGAATTTCTTTATTTACCTGAGCATCATCCCAATTGTATTAATATTTAGATATTGAATTTGAATTATTAATCGTTAGTTAAAAAACTTAAGGTAACAGCTGTTATTGGCAGCTTTATATTGACGCGGGTTATGTACGAAGTGAAACACATATCAATATGCTGGGTTGTGTATAATTTTATTGAAAGTTTAAGTGAGTAGGCTATTTTTTTTTTTTTTGAAATTTTGTAATTTAAGACATGACAACACTTATACAATACATTGCAAAGAATTGCGAAAGTTTATAATTAGTGAAAAGATGTAGTCCAAGCGGACTCGATCCAATCACTAATTTGTTTGAAATTCCAACTGCGAATTATAATGTACGTCTTGCACTGCCTGTGGATGGACGTACGAAGGATAACCTCTTGCTAAGCGACAGCTACACTTAAGTTATATTTCATACAATAAACAAAAAGGACAGATTAGCCTTACTTCACTTTGAGGCCCAGATGACGTTACGCTAGAGCTGAGTGAAGTTCCACGCCCAGAGCTATCTTGGGAATGGTCACTGTGGATGCCACGTCCGTCTCCTGCTCCCGCGCCTGCCCCCATTCCGGGCTCTACCGCATTACCGTTTACGTCGTATATAGGCTCAGCAAGGGGTAACTGAATTGGTATTAAATGTTCAGATTCTTCCTCTTCATCTTCGTCTTCGTCATCATTTTCATCTTCATCCTCTTCAAGCTAATGAACAAAAAGCAAGGCAATACTAATTAATCACGCTGTTTTACCAAGGATATTGAAGGTACGTTAAAATAATTGTTGTGCTAGTTGTTTAACAACATGGAAAATATTATCTATATAAACATTAAATCTAAAATAATTACCGCTTGTTGTTGGCTTATGATCCGAAAAAGCCAATCTGGTACCACGGCGTCTTCATTTATCACACAAGAGTCAAAACTACCTGACGATCTGCCCGATACAAACACCTCTTCTGAGGTCTGGAAAAAAAGGTACAAAGAAGCACAATTGTGCGACATAATATTTTATACATTAATATCATGAAAGTACTTACAGTCTGTCTTACATGGTCTCTCGCTATACTACCTGTCTCAGAATCCACTAAATTCACGTGATCTTGTAGAACTCGCGCTGCAGGTGCAGCATTCATCGATAAACCACTAAATGCTTGTATCGTCAAACGGCCCGCTGGACTCTAAAACAATCTTCTATTTAAGTTTTGATCACCGAGTTTATAACTAATTTACACATTAAATAGTATTAATTAAATCTTTATCGCCCTATTCCAAATGTTACATTCGGTGATGACTATTTTACTCTAGATAATGAAATAAATTTACATACCTCTATTGATAGTGGAGCTTTTCTTTCAAATATATCGCGAACGCAATTATCTGCAGGCGTAACAGAATTTTGTATGTCTGAGTCATTATTTGAGGAACCCTCTGCTAAAAAATATTCTGATACCTTGGAAGCAGACGCTATTGAATTAAATGATAACAATTCTAAATCTGTCACATTGGGTTTTGTACCCGTGATGCCTATGATAGAATCATTATCGACAGCAGGATCATATTCATTATAAACTACTGAATCGAAAAAAATATTGTCTAAATCCATTTCATTCCAGTCCACTATTTGAGTATAATCATTAAATCCCATTACTGTACCATAACTACTATTGAGTGATGTAGCATCATGAAAGCTAGTTGTATCGCTAGCTGGTACACTATTACACCTTTCACTCATTTGAACTGTTCTCGAATCAGCTTCTGCATCATTGTCAGATAATCTTTCAATAAATTCTAATCTTTCTTCAACTAGCTGTCTCATAGCTGATGCTATATTACTCGACTGGCTTTCAGCGATAAGGGTTTGAGTAGTAGTCATCCATTCGGTTAATAAATTATTGTCGACGATGTTTATAATAACACTATTTTGTTCTATTTCAGAGTCTTGGATCATTGAATTTACAGCTTTTTTTGTGTTAAAGGAATCTTTCAGACTTTTGTTTTCTGGAGACAAAGATGGCATCGTAGAAGTCCCACTAATCGAATGTTTGCCGGTAAAACTTGGAACAGATGGTATTTTTATATTAGCTTTATTTGTTGATTTGCGTCTATTTACAATGTTATTTGCAGACTGTGGATTTTCCGAAGCTATTTGTGCTCTAAAAATGCTTTTGTTTTTCGAAAAAGTGCTACTAAATGCTATATCTTTATTTCTCTTTGAAGATTCTGGTAAGTTTTCTTTGTTGTCGGAAATATTGTTTTGATATTTTTTAACGCTTTTGCATTTTTTTGTTAGTTTTTTGTTTATGATTTCAGTGTTCTCCGTTTGAAATAATCCTTGATTACTTCTGTTCGAAGAATTCGAATGTCGTTTGTCGGCTAACCTTAACGTAGGTCGAACTCTAACAGTAGCTATACTGTTGGGGGATGATCCCGCAGAACTATTAAATGATTGTGGACTCGGGGATCGTTTATTAGAGTCATTCGTTCTTTCGTCATCGTTATCAGAATTGAATATATTTTCACTATCAGTAGAACAGTGATTATTAGTCTCGATTTCATTTTTAAATACTACGTAGTTTACACTTTCGTTTGGCTCAGGATTAAATTTTAACAATACCGTTTTAATTTCATTAACACTTCTCTCGACTTTTTTGTTGACAATCACTTTTTCGTTTTTATTTTGTTCGCCACAATCTAAATGTTCATTTTGATGATTATTTGTAGATAACTTTCGTTTTAAATATAACGGTATATAACTTTTTCTTCGTGGTTTTGGCATGACCTCACTTTCTGTTTTTAGCATAGTAGGTGTCTTGGGAGGTTTTTTTATTATAGTAGAAGATTTTTTAGACAGTAGACGCCTGTAAAATAATTTAAATACATATAATATTACAAATACTATTGTAGATTCCGTTATTTAAGCATAATATTGTTATAAAATAAATCATACTTAGAAGTTAATTTTGAGGCTACCTGAAACAAAATTAATAAAATTTAAATAATTTAAGATGTGGTTTACAATAAAGGGAGACAGAGCTTTAGGAATCCCTTTACCGATATTATTTATATACTTAGACGGATTATAACGATTTTTTTACTTCCGGGATAACCTTTTTTAATTTTATACTGGGACATTTAGAACTGTCAGTATAGGAGTCTGAAACTATAAAACATACGAAGATCTGTTCTTAGGAACTATGTCATTGATTTTAGTGACAAAAAAAAACATTCATTTATGCTACACTCCAGGTTACTGCGATATGTAAAATTTCTCCATTTAATTTTAAACTCTACCGTCAAAACGTTAAGGTTATAATATAAAGCAAAATAAAGTTTCGATGCTGACGGAAGCCATTGTTTCAGCGATACATACTGTTGATATCACACCATTACGAAAAGGGGAATTTCCATCACAACAATAAATCTATCCTTATATTTACCTTGGTCGCGTTCTTATTACAACTTGTTACTTTAGCCATATTGTTTACTGTCGGCATCTTTTTTACCTGTTTCACGTTTTTCACATTATTATTTCGAACTAGGTTTACAGTTGCAGGTCGGATATTTTTATTAGTACAAGCATTGTCCTTATTATCATTTCTTATTCTTTTATTTAGTTCTAAAGTTCTGTTAGTAACAACATTGCAACTTTTTTTCTTTGGGGCAGCTACAGTTGTGTACCTTTGCCAATCTCCTTGATAAACCACATCTTCACTCATTTGCCTCTCCTTATAACTATGAACGTAAACACCACCATTGCTAAGTTTAGGACGAATTAATTTATGCGAAAATTTGCTTTCAAGTTCAACATCTTCGGTCAATTTAATTGGAAATCCACTTGTATCTTTTGCAAAATTCATAAAATGTAGGGGACTTCTTTGGGAACTAGACAAACTGTCACATAATTCTGACCCGGAATCTTCGATTTTATAGTGACTCGATACAGATTCGAGAATTCTTGTTTCCGTAGTAGAAACCAAGTTCAGTATTGATGATATATTAAGATTTGTATTAGTTTCTTGTGTCACAGTTTCCACTTTGTTGGTGATTTTTGTTTCAGAATCCTTTATCTTGATTCCAGTAAATTTTCGTTTAGCACTTATTTCTTTACAAGAATCAAAATTTTCGTTAGTGCTGGTGCCAAAATCGCAATTTATTACATGTTCTTGTTCATCCGAAAAAGAATTAACAATTTTTAAGCCAGCATTGAATATTTGAGGGCGTTTTGTGAACGATGTAGTTGAAGATAACATCGCGTAATTATTATCCGACTCGGGACCACATTGTACGTCCATACTAACATGTCTGATTCCTTTAGATGTGCTTGGTTCATTAATGTCTGTAATAATTAATTTAAAACAAGTGTAAATATATTAGGAATTTAAAAGAAATTATAAATTTTTAGATATATGATATACCATAAAGAAATAGAGTTTGAGAATGGATTTCTTCTGATCCATTAATAGGTTTATCGTTGAAACTGTCAATATTCATAACATTTGTCATACTCCCACGAGTATGCTCTTGTTCATTTTCAAATATTAATAAATCGTCCTCAGCATCAGTCCCTATTGTACGTCTTAAAGCTATCGTTTCTTCATTATCTTCTGTAATTATATCAATCAATAGACTTTCTTTCGTTATAGCAATGGTATCATCAATATTGTTTGGAGCCAGTTCAATTAAATCTGTACTAGACTCTTTCAAAGCACTATCCCTTTCATTTTCAGTATTTGGATGACAAAACTGTATTAAAGTTGGCGAGATCTAAAAACAAACGCAATAACTATAGTAAAACACTACAATACAAAACCTTTTATGCCATTATAACCACTTACCGGCCTCGAACGTGATTGTAACATATGTTTGTAGCTCTTCTTTCCTTTGTAAAGATATTTTTTGACATCTGCTGCAGATAATCTTTGATGACTATTTTTATCTAAAATATTGTAACTCGGTTTCTTTTTTACGTTTTGCTCTACGCTCTCATTATTATCATGGTGGCCATTGCTTTTTCTGTTTCCTCGACGTTTGCCGTATGAAGTTTTACTCGGCGTTTTGATTCTATGTCTCAAGTCTAGATCAGGTTTTCTCCCAGCTGATCCTCTTCGTTTCTTGTTGTTTTTCTGATTTCTAAAGGCAGTTATGTTACAAGCACTGTGATCAGTATCGCCAGAACTAATACAGTGACTACTGTTCTGTACTGAATATACAAGCACTTTATCATTACCATCTGCCCACGCTTTTAAGCAAGACAATGGAATCACCTTTGAATAGTGTTTAGGTGAATGCACAGGACTTATCGGCTCAATGTCAATCAAAGATGGAAATCGTATCATTTCTTCGAAATCTATAAATAAAAAAACAAATAAATAGACGCACTGCAGTCCTTAAAAAGTATGTTTTAACTTATAAGATTATAACTTAGTTCCGTAGATGATGTTTGATCCAAAAATACATTTGCTAAATCATCTTCCATTACATCATAGCTTAATTCTCGGCTCTCCTCCGACGCATTTGCTTTCTCTGAAACCAGAATAATCATATATTATTCAATGTTATATCTGCGATCAATCTCATGTATAACAAATATCGATCACTCACCCGGCATTTGAACAATATGTCGATATTTATCTACTAATTTGCTCCTAAAATAATACAATAACAAATATTTATTTATAGAACATACATATACCGCAAATGATTATTAATAGTTCATAACGATACTAACGCTGTTTCATTACGATTTATTTTGCTTAAATCAACCATTTCCATTTGGATATTATCTGAAAACCGAATAGATTATCTATTCCTATAATATTTTTTTATATAAAACTAACGACCTCAATCGACTTTTCTCAAGTAAATTCAACAGTGAAAATACATCAAAATCCGTTGCGTTATTACATCATAAGCCTGTTAACTTCCCCACTGCTGGAGCTGAAGCACAAGCAATGTCTCATTCTCTCTATTCAAGTTCATAGAGAAGCACTTGAATAGAGAGACTGGGACAAAAACTCCACACGGGCCCATTGCGGTTTGGTGGATTAATACCACCTGTGTTTGATCTGGGAAATAGAAGTTAAGCAATTTTCGCAAGGGCGAATCATAGGATAGATAACAATAATTTGCTAACGCAAGGAAAATTTATTTTTAACTCAATTACAAAACCGTAAATTACCGATTACGCGTTGGGTTGTTTATTCCAGCGTAAACTTGACATAGACAATTTATTCAGGACGATTCCAGGCAGATTAATACGAAAAACCACAGGTCAGTTTACGGACTAAAAATTTCCTAGAAACTGATTGAAATTTAGAAACGTTATAATACGGCCCCAGGAATGGTAATCACTGTCTAAAAAGAGACATAGTCAAAGCGTAGTTGACCTATCTTATAAAACCCGCTGCGATAAAGCTCCCCCAGATAGATTGACCCGGGATCCTGCGAAAAGGGCTTGGGCAGAATGGGTGACCAAAATTATGTTATACAGAGCTCTCATGTTTCGCCACGTAATAACACGATAAGCTATTGGTCCCGGATGCTCCTGCAGTTGTTTCTACTCACCAATCCGCACTGGGCTCTCGTAATTGGTTACGAACCGTTATCTTGTAGGTACTTATATCCATAGACGAGCCCTTTACTCCAGAATGTATGGGATATTAAAAAGCTGATAAGTAATGTTAATTGATAATTGTAAGTGTTACATGTTGGGAATTAGAATAAATTTAAAGTTATACATTTCACAAACCGTAACAGATAGCCTTCAGCGGGTTCATCTCTGTGTATAGTTGTCTCTTTTTTCCTATAGCTTTTTCAGTAAGGTTGAGAAGATCGAGCAGCTTGCATTGCATCCATCTATTAGACAACGGTTGCTGGCGCCTCCTGGCGGTGCGCAACGCCAACTTCGTGAGGCGGCATACAACTTTATCTAGTTCAGCGCTGATATCTTCGTTGTTTGAGATCATGGATCTTAGTGTGCGCACTTTCTGATCTAGTGCGCGATACAGACTCCGCCCTGATATAAGTGCATTACTATGATAAGGGATATATACAGAAGGCATGGAATGTCGGATAACTACTTCGATTTTGACTATCAAAAGATGGCGCTAGTATTTTTATTAGATTTTTTTTACTAATTTTACTTTTTTTATAAAAATGCTAACGCTTATAACGTAATATACGTTATTGCGATACTAATAAGTTTCTTAAGTTTTCAAAATACCTTTGATGATCTAAACTAAAAAGTGGGCCTTGCTACTGGAACTTTAACTTTGACAAAATGAAATTATTAAATTCGAACAGATTCCACTTTTTTTTTTCAAAACCACTACCTTAAAGCAAACGACAGATATACTACAGTCAAACTTTAATATTAACATTACATTTTTTTCCAGAAGTATGTATATCAACGTCCTACATAATGGCAGTCTATTTATTTTCAATCGCTCATTGTATATACGTCAAACCTACTTTCAGCTGCATCACCGATTGTCACTACAAGTTTCGTCAACAGATGTGCAGCCGTGCTATATACTGTCGCTATTTTTTTTTTGTCACCGTGTCATTTGTCGCATATTTGCTTGTCGCATATAGTTTCATAGGAAACGGACTAATTAAAAACAGCATTTAGCGCTACTTCAAGGGCGTTGGCGTACTATCAGTTTTTATACTGTGGTAATTATTCCACACCCCGCTCCGCCATCATAATTAGCAATGGCGTAATTAGCAAACTAGACTGTGGCAAATTGGCAAAATTCCACCGGCCACCAGCCAGATAGGGCCCCCGGTCAGAGGAGAATCTATACTCCCAACATTTATTATAACACATTCAGTAACAAATCCGATTAATCCGATGGATTGCTAACAAATTTGAATAAAGTAATAATTTAAAATATATAACCGTGACCCTCATGGCCTGTGCTACCATCAGAAGCAGAAAGCGACGTAGAACGAACATCCGTATCCCACTGCAAAAAAGGGAAAATATCATTGGTATAAATAATTACTCCGGGTGCATCTGCAATCGTTAATACCCACCAATCCGCATATGGCCCGCGTTCCGTCGATAGGAAAGGCCTGAGCCCCAGCAGTGGGAACATTAATAGGCTGGTGATGATAAATAATTACTATTTGTTAAGGATTTATAAACTTTAATAATTAAAAAAATAACACTCGCATAACAAAGACAAAAATATGTACTTAAACTTTTACAAAACTGTGATGACAGTCTTTTCACCAGTCTTGCTTAATTCGAGTTTAAAAACCGTACTCAAAATACTAATATACTAGAAATCATATAACATATTACAAACCTTGATATTTCAGACGGAAAATATGGGTAAGATTTTGAAGATATATTTATAATATCTTCAATATCTATATGAAATGAACGCTAAACACTTGCAATAAAGTCTAAATCTACAACTGTTTAAGTAAAAAAGCTATTATGCTAACAAATAACTTAGTTACTATGTTTTAATGGTAATATTTCTAAGATTTCTAGTTTCAATAAAAGCTGAAAGTTTCTAACTAGTAGGCTGTCCTATAAACCATTTGTTTACATCAGAGAATGTTTCGTTGTCGGGCCACTCGTTTTCGTGAGAGTTGACTGATACAGTGTCAATAGTCAATCGAGAGTAAATCACGACATCACCAGCAATCTCATAGCCATTCCACTCCAACAGATCCCTGTAAAGTATCAAATAACTTTGGATCTAAATAAGTACTTAAAGAGTACAACATAAAGTCGCGAGTGGCGACTTTGAACTTATTTGACTTAAACAAAAATTATGAAAAAGAAAACAAATAATTATTTAAGATACGAGTGCGGAAAGTAAGGTTTTGCGAATAAGAGCCAAATTGAATTGATTTTCATTGGCACGACTTCGAAAAACCTTTTACGCTCAAGTTTCTTACAACATTTTTCAATGCTTTTTGCGAGGATATAAAATAAATATATAGGTTAATAAAACTAAGTATGTATTAAAGGTAAAAATTATTTGTTAAAATTAAACGTGATATTTGAACATGTTTTCGTGTCATACATTGAAAAATATTTTAAAAATTAACCGCGACATAGAATGAGGCTAAGGAAATAACAAATAGGCATATTTTTTTTTCATATTCACAGTTTTAGTGACTCACTTGACTCTATCGACGTCATCTGTAATGTGCTGGACTACCCTCATAAGATGATGTATAGGAATTTCAACCTTATTCACATCCATGTCTTCATCGCATTGCATGTCAACAACGCGATTGATCTCATCCGATATTAAATCAAGAATGCGGCACTCTTCTGATTTCGGCTGAAAAAACATTTTATTATATTTTATTAGGGATGATGACTAATGTTTGTTTGTCTGTTCGTCGGGTAGATTCTTAAAGAATATAAAACACGTTTTTTTTATTTTTTGGATCACTACATAGTATATGACAAAGTCGTTTTTTCTGTCCCTATGCATGCTTAAATCTTTAAAAATACGCAACGGATTTTGTCGAAATATTTTTACTATGAAATATCCGTACATATTGTCACTTAAATTAGAAAAATGTTTTTTTTTTTATTAGAGGGCAAACAGTAAGTTATAACCTTACCTCAAACGGATAAGTATATTCCTTGACCAGTTGATAATACTGATTCCAATATGGCGCATTTTCACCCCAATTTATGTTGTGCCAAGTGTGATCTCCTTCTGCTTGTACCCTGGAGTCGTTGTTGAAGTTCAGCATTCTCGTCAAATGTCTGATTTCATCTACAACCTCTTTTGTATGTTCTAATGAGTGCATCTTGTTTTTTGCCATTAGATGTTGGGTTTTCTTAGAGAACTTCTTTACTTGTAATGTCGTGCAATTTAATCTGAAATAGTTAAACCAATATCTCTGTTCACAATATTAAATATTTGTCCATTTCATTAGCTTAGTTTGATGTGTGAATTCCCAAAAGCAGGGCCAGATCATTATTTAATACCTTTATACAGTTAAAAAAAAAAAAAAACTTTCTAACACATCAACTACAATGGGACGGACAAGTAAAAAAAAGTTGGAAAACATATCCGGGCCTGCTCAAAAGAATATATTACACTATTTACACTCAATCACATATATCAACAAATATGAAATTAAATTTAAAATCTAGAACTACCCTGTATTCACAAGTACTAAAATATCGAATTTTAGTCTAAACTCTGCATATTAAAATAATGAAACTGGATGGACTGACTACGAAATATTGTCCTATGTCATACACCTAAGTGCTATTTTCAACAATGAAAGAAACATACATTTCTAGACATCGGTCATCTGAGTCTGAGTGCTACAAATCCCACCTTATTGGTTGTTGGTTGGATTTGGCAATAATTTGATGCACTTTACTAAGAATTCCGAACTACTGTCAACACTAAATATTGACCTGCAATTAACATCTTCGATGATATAAACTCGATTATCGGCCCTCCGTCGACGTGGTACAACAACAGCGCAACTCTCTTCCTCATTAAACATAAGAAAGTTTTTGCCAATCTCTGTATCAATATTGCACTGAGAGGTCTTGTCGCGGTACTCAATGGACTCAAAGGAGAATGCGGGCGATAGAACTATAGTAACACATGACTGTGTGTTGGAAAATACTAATTCGGTGTAGGACTCGAGACTGGAAGTAATTAGGTATTAAGGATTAAGACGTCATTATATTGAGACTTATATAATCATCATCAAAACCAGCTTATTAATATTCCCACTGCTGGGGCATACACCTTCCCTATGAGTGGAACTGAAAAGAAATTAAATAAGGAAAATAGGCCACGATCCACCACGAAGGCCCAGAGCGGATAGGTGGGTATAAACGACTGCAGATGAAACCAGGGCCGATGGCTTAATTTATCTAAGCAATAACTAAAAATAAGGTACCAAACAATCGTCAGACAGAGTATTTTTTGAAGTGTTACAAAACACTAGTCAAGAGTAATGTCTCTGTATTAAAATAGATTTTGGAATATGGCTCACTCACTTTTTCGGTGAACATAACATATTACAATCACTGTCTGGGAAATCCAACGCTTGAATCTCATTATTTGTTGATGGCGCTTCTGAAAAGTAAAAGAAACAAATTTAAAATGCGAAAGTTAATCTCTCCGTCTGTTATGCTTTCATACCAAGTGAAAAACCTAACTATCAATTCTGTCGCATTAATACCTGTTTCATACAATTTAATTTTAAAAGTTCATATAGAGATTCTGATTTTGAGTCTTATAATCGCACGATTATATTATTATCTAAAATAAAGTCGTGATTCTTTGTCTGTTTGTCGCGTGACTTGGAACACGTCCCGCCATTGTGTGATGTCACTGTGGCGACAACTGTCAGATTAGTCATAAAGATATTCCTATTAATTATAAATCAAATTGCTAGATGACGCTGTTCTTAGCTTATTTATATATTTTTATTTCGGAATCAATCGTTAGATGGCATTGTTCTTGTTTTATTGACGTCTTTTAATCTTCTACTGTATGCATCTGTTTTGTGTACATATCACAGTGATGTCATGAATATAACGAACAGCGTTTTCGTGGACATCAAAAAAGTTTAAATTTTGACTTAATATTTTTTTATGGCTTTTTTAATTTAAAATTATCAGTCAGCAGTATTATTTCAAACGGAGTAGAATACCCTATTGTTCAATCTATTCTTAAATATCATCGGTATTAAATAAATTATACTTCAAAATCATACATAAGCAGTTATGCATAAATATATTACGACAAACTAAAGTATGGAAACCGCGGAACACCAAAATACACTTTTCACAATGAAATCGACCGTGTGCTGTTGGAAGGTTTTTAGAGTCCATAAGAATCATTCTCACTTGTTTATGAGTATTGATAGTCGTGGAGGCGAAGTATATTAATAGTAAACATTCTATTGATTATTAAACATGTATCTACGTTACTTATCTTACTACTGACCAAGCTGAAAGTGACAGTATATAACATAAACATAACATCTGGGATTTATCACTAAAAAAAATACCAAGCTAGATACTAACGAGGTATATTTTGTAAATACTTACTCGCAACCAAAGCCAGACTGTTCAGGTTCAGATCTCGTTGTTTGTGATAGTCTTTAGAAACAAAAAGTGCCAATTGACTGCAACAGCCGTAACGCAAAGTATCCGGAGGGCCTGGACCTACCCCCCTACAGGATACAGTATAATTAGGATATCGTACGACAATGTTGCTGCACCTTTGTCAAAGAAAAATATATTTTATGAAACAAGAACACAAAATTATTAAGTTTCACAATAACAAATAATTTTGAAGATTCCATTACCATATCAAATTAAAATAAATTGTGGTTGCTAAAATAATTGGAAGGTAATTTTGTATTTTCGCATGATGCATTTATCATGCTGGAAATACATACATACCTAACTACTTTTCATAAAGCCAATTAAAATGCAAATGCGAAAACGTTTCTCAAAAATCGACGCGATTTCACAATTATATAAAAAAAATCAATAGCATAAAGCATGCAAAGTCAAAAAAATAAGCATGCTAAGAAAATAATAAGAATTGCACGTTTTTGCAATGTAAGCTAATTCAATGCCAAAGAGAGAAGTATTAAAAATCATTAACATATATTTTATGTGAAACTAATTATTTTTTGTAAGTACTCACCAATCATGAAATTGTTCCCTAGACCATTCAAAAAAGTGGTCCAATCTTCTGAAACCATTCTTCTCAAGGGATTTGAATAATGGGTTAAAATCACCATTGGGTGTTGTAATTACAGCTATCCAGGGTTTAATAAAGCCAAAGATGGTGTGGACCAGCCTTTCCAAGTCATGAGGGTACATGTGCTCAATCATCTCTATAGCAATCACAGCATCACTACCAATAAGCCTGTAATCTGGGTCAGCAGCATTGCCTTGAAAAAGCTGTAAAATTTGGTTAAAAATCATTACTTAAATAACCATTAAAAAAGAAGTTATTATCAATAATAATAATCTTTATTTCACAAATAAAGGACACATTACAAAGAAAGAAAAAGAAATTGGACAGTATACAAAAAGGCGGCCTTATTGCTATGCAGCAATCTCTTCCAGGCAGCCAATGGTAATACAGAAAATATAAATAAATAATAATGATGATGATGAAGGGGAGAAGGTGCAATAGCGACAGGAATTAAATAGATATACCTAAAGAGTAAAATAGATAATGTATATGAAAGAGAGAGTTAAAAGTTAGTGAAAAAGTAACTTTTCACTTCTGCCACGAAGGATCGCAAAGTGCGAGCCTTCCTTATAGTTTCTGGTAGTTCCAAAGCTTATAGTTTCTGGTAGTTGAGGTTTGAGGCAGATATACTGAGATCTGGATGAGGAGTTGCAAAGGAGAAAATGTTTTAAGTATAGGAGACATGGGCAAGAAAAGAACAGAATAGAAAAGCGTAATGGTGTGTAAGTCCCTGCGTTATCGAATAGTGAGCCAGTTCAATTTTAAGCGGAAATGCGACACATGGCCATACTTGCGAAGGTTAAAAATAAATCTACTTTTGACAACTCTAATCGGGTCGCAAGCTTGCTTGTCGTCGAGTAGTAAAACTCCGTAGAAAGTGGAAGGATGGAATGTTTTATTTTCAAATCTTACAGCTACTTATACTAAAACGTAATATAATATTCACCAGTTAAAATTCCTTAAAATTATAAATACAAACTTAACCAATGAGAAATGTACATTTTAAACCAATTACAAGAAAGCTTCAATAATTACAATGGAAGGGGAAAGTGCCGATAGGAAAGGGAAAGGGACTGAGACACGTGGCGTATGAAGGCTGGCATAGAGTTAACGAGATCCTTTTTGCCAGGCGTCGGGTGAGCGTGCGGGTGACTGCGCTGCGGATGGTTGATATGTGGCGCACAGCTGTTGACACGCACTTGTTGCGTTGCTTTCCTTTGTTTCATACGGACAGTGACGTTGAGTGAAAGAACTATTTGTTCTTTTAAGAGCTCCTTATTTCATTGGCGGATACACAAATAAATTCTGCATTAACTGATGTAGACTTATTACTGTCTTACTGGTGGTGTTAGCCACATACTCTAATTTGTTGACGAGTTCCTCGGTTAGATCAGTATAGCAAACATCAGCGTAGTCAATGATGGAAAGTAGAGTTTGTGCAAGCGCGATTTTTGTTTTTATTGGTAGGAAATTTCGAAGTCGATTAAGTGAATTGTACGCAGCGAACACTTTTTTCTCAGTGCATCTATTTGAGGCTTCCATGTAAAACACTGGTCTAATATGATACCAAGGTTTTTGACCATACTCGACATGGAATTAAAGTTTCCATTCGAAAGAAAATGAAAGGAGATGTCCAAAATCGATCCTTGAAACGAAATGTGGACTTCCAATTATTATAGTGTTTTTGAAGCATTAACAGTAAGACCAAAGGACTTACTCCAGCTACAGATAAGTCAGAGGTCATTGTTAGTAACCATAACCGCAACGGAAAGGTTTGAGAGCGAAGCTTGAGTGTAAATCTAAAGATCGTCATGATAGGAACTAGAAAGTGAGTTAGTGATTGAATTTATAAAAACACAGAAAAGTAGAGGAAATAAGACGCCACCCTGAGAAACGCCGGCAATGAGACTACACCACGAGGAAGAATTGCCTTCTCCACGAATGCGCTGCCGGCGGCCTAGCAGGTAACTTTGAAACCAATCAATTGCCGCTGGCGACATGTTCAGAGAACGTAAAACACCGAGAAGGATGTCAAAATTATCAGATTTAAAGGCTTTGGTGATATCGAGCAACGTCAACAATGTCAGCTGGTGATTCTCCTTCCCATGTCGGATGTCATCTGTAATCTGTAAACAGTATTTGTGGTGTGGCCTGTACGAAAACCAGATTGAAATGGGTTGAGGCGACTATTTTGATTTAGAAAGGCCGTAAGTTGGCGATAGAAGTTTTTCAAGGTCTTTAGAGAAGATAGGAAGAATGGATATGGAGCGATAATCACAGAAAGAAGCAGGATTTGTTTTTTCAGGATAGGGATAACATTAGCATCTTTCAAGCATGTAGGAAAGACACCGGTAGAAATTGATGTATTAAGGATAAAGATAGAATATAGATTAAATATAGAATATAAGATTGAATGTAGAATATGGATAAAAATAAGGATAAAGGAAATTACGGAATTCAGGATATCTAACATGGAAAGGATCATTTTGCAGCTAATGAAATCACTATTATTATGATATTCTATTATTATTTCTTTTAAATATTAAATAATTACTAACTATCGATCTCACTCTCACCTTCATAGATGAAATTAAAATGTGTGATTCTGTGTAAAATGTGTGACTGACAATCGGTTGCATAAACGTCCATTAAAGTTTAATGACGCCTTTTAGCTCTAGTGAATGTCAAATTTGTATTGGTCGCTTTAAGCTACAATGGCGTTTGTGCAACTGGCTGTGTAGTATAGAGTCGCAGATAGAGCTGTTGGAAAACGTTACTGATTTGGAATTTAAAAAATTACAATTAACTATATAGATTATATTTTCTTACTGAAATATGGAGTGGTGTTTCTCTTTTAGGTGCATACTCATCACTGCCAAAAAGATCTGATGAACATCGCAGGGGAAAACTCTCTATATCCACACCTAGTATTTGTTTGACACCAGGTACATCCCTCAAGTATTTTATAAAACTCATATCATGGTATCCAAGATCAACTACCTGTAAATAAAATAAAAGAAACTTATTAGCAAAGATAACTGTTGGCTGTTTATCTATTTCAATATCTATCACGCCTGTCAAAGGTTTAGTGATTCTGATAGCCATGAAGTAATTATTTGCATTTAATGCTTGCCTTAGACAACTCATAAATAACGTCTAATTAATGGTATTGTTAATTCAATACTTTTATAAAAAACTGCACAAATGCTATCACATGTCATATAGTTGTACCGTGAAGTTCATGAATATCTTTGAAATATAAAATTAAAAGGGTTCGTAATAAATTTAAAAAAAAATACACAATTAGAGCCCTGGCACTTAAGGGTAATTCCATGTAAATCTCAAATTATGAAAAAAAAAATACTGTTATTTATTGTAAATTACTTTAATATAGTTGCAACACTGAGGTACTTATAGTTTTCATATGGCACCTATTTTTTATATCTTGCAAGTACTGATGTTTTTTAGATGGCACCTTATACATTAACTGTTGGCATCTTTTGCAGTGTATTTTTAACTACATCACAGAGTACTTTATAAGAACCACATTTTCAATAGCTATGATTTTTGTATTATTGTAATGTTTTGCTAACATGTGTACTAATTGCTGTAGTAAGCAATATTAAGCGAAAAAGTGTACAATGTTAGGTTGCAATATCACAGTGTTAGCTGAATTTTCTCTCTTACTTTAGTAAAACTGAATTAACTTATTTATGTTTATTTTGTTTTCTATTTGACAGAGGAACTTATGTTATGCGAACTTAAAAAAAATCAGAAGTTTATTAATTATTCTTCAAACAACTAAAATGGTTTCATAGTGTTAGTCACACTGAAAACATGAAAGTTTACGTTAAAGGAAATTTGCTATTTAAGGGAATATTTTATTTTTTTCTTGTAGTTGGCCAAAACAGCAGCACAATGTAAGAGAAATCAAAAAGAGAGAAGCTAAAAGCAAGCAGTTTATATGAGGAATTTAATGATAACTTTTACTATAGGAGCAACACTGGAAAAATATAATCAGCTGTTTCATACTTTTGTTTAAATCATCCACCCAACGAACTCCTGGCACATAATAATATTACACCATATTTGATTTTATTAATTTAAGAAAACCAACAAAAAATTGCTTGTTTAAGGGTATTATGTTAGATAGATAGAAGACAGATGTTTCCATTTTTTAAGTTGTAATAGAAAATAACTTTTTATTACATAATTCTAGTAGCTGTTATATATTTCTTTTAGTTGGTCAAGCCTTTAAATAACATGCATGTGTTTGCAATGTGATGTAACAAAAGCTTTTCTTTTTTAGTCTGACTACATTTTGTTTTATCCAATATTTAAAAACAGATATCCTGATACAAGTGCTAAAAATGCTTAAATTAACTGAGCAATGCATGTGATATTGTGTAATCATTGTCATTATCCTCAGCAGCAAAATGCCCACTAATAAGTCCTGTTGTGTAATATTTATATATTTCGCCTATTTTTTGTTCAGCTCACAATTTCCTATATTTAAACAAAATAATTCTTTCTGAGTAGAACTAGTGAGTTTTTGAATTGTTTTTGTTGCTTAATTACACAACAAACACCTATCATCATTAGCCTAAAATAAAAATGCACTAATTTTGTTACATGACTGCCCAAAAAATGTTTATATTGTGTTTGTGACATGCCATACTTTTGATTGTATTGGTTATATTTTGCGTCTGCACTGATGACTTGGGATAGATATTTAATATACCTTTTCTAACTTCCCGCACCATCGTTCATCCATAAGACAGTCACTGACTGCTGCATATCTTTGTGCATACATGGGAGGGCAGAAAATGACACCTTTCTCATCATCATATTCAGCAAACACGTGATCTTCAGACTCTTCGTCGTCGGAAACATTGTTGTTTCTATTGAATGTCAAAGCAAAATGCTTGATATAGGGACGAAAAACACGATCAAATACGGCAAATAGCGACTCCCGAAAGAAAACCAAAGTCTGTATTACAATAATCATAATTCAGGACTACAGATTTTACTGTTTTCGAAGAATCATCCCCTTTCTAATTTATCAGTTAATCCCATGATGTTCACATGTTTATTTTGAAAAAACAAGGATAGAAAAAGTAAATTATCTTTGAAATGTCTCAAAAAGATACTTCTCCCTAGAATTTAGAAGACCTTACTCAAAATGTATAATCCGATATTAAATTGTTATTTAGTAATAAACTAAACTTTTGGTCGGTGAATTTGAGTATTTGAAGAATTCACATTTGAATTTGACACAACCATAGATAATAGATAATTCACTTATTTGACGGATACAGCATAGAGAATAGAATATAGTCAGATTTTCGATATGGATATGTGTATATGTGTTTATGGCGTAGACAGAGAAAGCAAGTCTATGGTTTATGGTCAGTATTAAAAAAGACTTGGCTGTGGCCGTTAAATTAGAACATGTAAGAATATAATGAATCTCATTAGTGAAATTTTATTTTATTTTATTCATATAGTCTATAAAATAAGAAAAAAATCGTCGAAAGAATTACTTCGATACGATTAGTAGTTTCCGAGATATTAATTTTTTAAAGTTCGCTAGAAACGCTCGACCGCGCTCGCATGTGTGACGTCACTGGACATGTTCGCGCCGCCGCCGCGCCGTCCCGCCGCCGCTAGACACCGAACCGAGCTCACTTTGCTGCCTGTTCATTGTTCACCACACCACGCGACGAGCTGTCTCCTACACATTTTTACTTACGCTACAGACATGTCAATAAAGACTTATAGATGGTGTATAGTACCAAAATGTGTGTCAACAACAGTGAGTTCGCCAGAAAAGTTGTTTTTCAAAGTTCCATTTCAGCTCAAAATGAGAAAAAAATGGATGCAAGCTATCAAAAGAGATAACCCGCCCAGTAACAAAAGTTCTGTTTATTGTTGTGAAGATCACTTCGATGTAAGTACTCGTAATATCACTGTTATTTATATTGAAACAATAATATGACAAATAAGCGTGGGTGGGGTAGTGTCACGTTTTAATATGTTATGTCAGGGGTTTGAAACATTTGGTATTACATTTCAATGTTTGGCTTAGCATTATAAAAAATGGTTAGGTAAAAGTAAACGCTCCAGAGGTTCTTAACCTTCGCTAATGCATGTTTTACTACAAATGAATGCATATTGCATAGTAATAAACGGCCAAGTGCGAGTCATACTCACCGGCCAAGGGTGCCGTACTTCCTCTAAGTCTACACACGTACGTAGGTACAGGTAGGTAGCAGTGGCGAAGTGTGCCTACAACTCGATTCCTACTGGCTTTACCTAGGAAAAATCTTATACCTTTGTACGTACGTAGACGTCGCCGTCGATACCCAAATATTATACCTTATGTCTGTCACACCGCTTTTTCTCGGAAGTTTGAATAGATAGAAGCTTGTCATGTATGGACAAAAGTTGAGTTTGAATGTCCGCCACCACGACAAATACTAAAAACTACAAAAAGTTTTATCCGCTAGATGGCATTGATACAACGATTTATTAAAAATGTTAATATCTCAGGTGTCGTTTCAGCTAGACAGTTCAAATTAACATATGTTGTGTAACTTACGTATACCTACAATATTTAAAAACAAAAAGAATTATAAAAAGAGGGGTTCCCATAAAACGAACAAAAAATACAGTACGGCACCCTTGGCTGGCGTGTACTACTTGTACCGTTTATTCCTTCGTTAACGGCATCCTAAAAATGGTAAAAATACCTTAGGTAAAAATACAAAATTAAATTTGAATATCATTTTTTCAGGTTGAGAGTGATATGGAAAACTACATAAGATTCAAATTGGTTGGAGGTAGAGTACAACTCAAAAAAGGAGTAGTTCCTCACAAATTTCAATGTCAGAGAAACACAGAAGAGAAAGCAGCAAGGTCTGCTGTAGAAAAGCGAAACCGTATTGAATTAATTGAAAAAATTATAAAAGAAGATCCCGTACCTTTGACGCCAGATGCGCCTGAAGAAATATTCGTTGTGTGTGCTGAAGAGGAAAAAATAGAAGAAGACCCATTAAGATTAGAGAATGACTCGTATATGGAAAAATCTAAACGTCATAAAGCTGTACAAGTTAGAATTAAAAATCAAGTTGAGAATAAAGCAACCAATACCCAAGAAAAATATCTACACTTTACGATGCAAATGTCTCCTTGTCTTTTTACTTGTACATAGCCGATTGCATCATCTCCATAACTATCTCTCCCTGATCTAAAAAATAAATAAATAAAATAGTTCATTACAATACATTCATTAAAAAATGTATACTTACTAAGTACCCACCTGTTTCATGAAAGTTCCATATCGGCCAATGTTTAGAACCCCTGACAAAGTTTTCAATGTTTTGTAAAGGTAAAGTTTAAAATAAATTCTTGTGTTAATACATGTCGTAATCGTAACTAGATTATATTTTGTACGTATCATACTACTGTGCCTACTGCCTAACCTATGTTAACGATCATACATACAAATGTACTTACGTACCTACCTATATATACAGTATTATTGTAACGCGTTAAACGGTAAAAAATAATGTGATATGTGTAAATGTGCATAAACAAATGAGGCTCTTACTTACTTTTTCATTTTTACTCCTCGCATTTCAGCGGCTACGAAATCAGCATTTTTCGTGAAATATTGAGCCACCATCAAACCATCCACTCTAGGCAAGTTATTCGATTGTCCTTTTTGAAAGCCTTCTTCCATGTTTCAAATTAAACAACTAGATACTAAACAAAAATAATTATTATTGGTCGGGAGACAAACTCGTACGTAACGCGCGGTTAGTAGGTATCAGTGTTCGTGGCGACCTGCGGCAGAGCTGTGAGCGCGCGAGGCACCGCGTGGTGTCCAATGACGTCACACGCGAAGCCCGCGCGTGCACGGAGATTTCATTTTTCGGTTAACTTCCAATGTCTGTAACTTTAAAACTACTTCGAATTTTTAAATAAAACAAAAACAGTTGCATTTTGTAGCCCTGAAGCACCATTCCTAAAAAGTTTCAAGTGATTCTGAGCACCTACTAATCTTCTTCATTACAAATGACAAGGCTGTATGGGCTAAACACCCTTTGCCTTCCCCTTCTCCTGTAGGAATGGGAAAAAAGAAACTAAAAAAAAAAGGTTTAGGTCAAAGCTCTCTTCGCCTTTCCTTTAAGGAAAAAATCTACCAAAAAAAAGGTTTATGGTCAAAGGTTTCTGACATTTTTTTTTATAGTTTATTCTGACCATGAAAACAAATCCTTCAGCCGCATCCAAAAATAAAATATTTTTAACTTAAATAACTAATGAGCATGTATTTAAAACAAAAATAAGTCCTGAAATCAAACTAGATGTAAATGAAATCAACAATAGCTTCCCGCATGCGTCTCGGACACTGTCTCGTCCCTATCTATGCACGTGAACAGTTTCCAATATCTCCACTGTACAGAGGATAATGCAGAGCTAGAACATCTGATAATGACCTGCCCAAAGTCCAACGTCTCATTTTAGTTAGAGGACTAGATCATATAGTAAGTAAGAAACTACCGTTTTATTTACAAATGCAATGAAATAAATTAGTTTTGATAATTTGGTGCCAATATAAACGATAACTATTATGAGGTACAGATCTTTAGAATTAAAGCAGAATATCACCTCTATTCTTTAATAATAGTGATTATTTTTGTTCGTAATGAGAATGTACCTATTTAAAAAAAAACATTAGTTCCCGAAATCAAACTAGATGTCGCTACAGTACTTTCTTGATTCTTCCGGTTTTCTTTCATGTAAAAAAGTGAATTAGTTTTCAAAACTCAATAAACAACTCAATATTCTCTTTATACTTTTTCGTCTTTGTATTGTCTAAATTTCAAACTTTGCAAATTACTATTTTATAATAATGTTAGTTTAAAAGGAACAGAAATGGCTATCTATGGTCCATTCGTTTCCTACAAAAATCAACTTTTGCTAGAGTCGCCATCTAGTGCAGGTGCTTTTTAGTGTTTTCTTATTTTAAATACTTTCTCATTGTCCGTTTAAGGCAAAGGGCAATACAGCCTATACAGCCAAATTTTTCGTATAATTATTAGATTTCCTTTTACACTAAAAATGTGGGTTTTTTAGAGGTTTTTAGTAAGCGGCAAGTTATAGAAAAGCTGAGAAATTCACGTACGAGTGGTGACCAGTTCATTTCCACGCGTTAAATTCACGTAATGCTTTAGTTTTTAACTTTGTTCCATAATTATTTCATTTTTTTTTTCACAATACACAAAACATATATTTCCAAATTTTGTAGTCATGTCTTATGTCTGACGAAAGAACAAGCAGAGCGGGTGAAGTCATACTTAAATGGTTCAATTCGTAGGAAAACTGTCTAGGAAAAGCGCGGGAAACATTCAAAGTGCCAAACAATTTCAATGTTTTATTTGATTTTAAACAAGTTACAAGGTTCCGTTTTCTGATTTATGTATTAGTTAGTTATAATATAGTTATTAAATACGATAATTCATTTTATTTTCACTTAAATCCCTTCTACTTACCCACAAAGGAAGTCACGGTATAGATATAGATGATATGTTTGTAAGTTCGACGAAAGAACCGTGTTATTGTTTATTATATCTGTTTTTGTTTATTTTCAGTATATTCATGTTAATTCTCGGTTTTTTTGATTCAACTGTTTTTTGCCAGTGTCTCAAGGTATCGAGACTGGCACACTCACGCAACCTGTGGCTACTGACACGTTGTTAGGTGATGCATGGTGTCTTGGCGGCAAATAAACAGTTAACCATTAGTATCTAATAAAAGTCAAAAAGCTTTCTCATCGGGGATCACTTAAATGTAAGCGGTTAGCAATACGCGCGGCACGTTCTTCTTGCTGTTTGCACACGGTTTCCACAGCCGACTATGCCCTTCAACACAGAAATCCAAATTACATAAATCCTTGGTTGACTGCCTGTTTCTCTTATTTTAATTGTTAATTAGCCATTTCATCTCATCATTTAATGTGAACGAAGAATCGACTAAGGAAGAAGAGAATGCTGAAAAAAGCAACCAGTACAGTTGATGGAACGACTGTTCTATAGGCGCCAATACCAAAACCACATACTAGTCAATTTCGAGATGAAATTGGTGATTTACGTTTTCCTAATCATGCTGTCACAGCTCCGATTTATGAAACTTCCCAAGGTCTCGGATGGTCTCATGCTGTTGTCAAGCCTTGTGGTCATGGATACATCTACAGAATATGAGTCACCGCACCGCTCATCTCCAATGGATTATCGTCAGCAAGCGAATTTATGTGATATAAAGGTGATAATCGCTTTTCATTTTCTGCGCCACATCACTTGTGTCGAACATCTGAACAAGTTTGAACTGAAATAGACTGCTCTTCGGAGAGCTGCTTCAATGTATAAAATCGCATCTCATAGTAAGGTCATCATACTAACTCCATTTTCACAGAGCTGTTGAGGCAGTCGTCGTCTTTTCATTACGTTAGCTTCGCCACGGGTGGGGATCATGTTGACGACAGCTTTTGCCAGCCTCTTTTGATAAGTGTATTTATAATTTAAATTTCTGACTTTGTCACTTATTGTTCTGTCTTTGCTTGATGTCTGTGATACCTAGTGTTTTTGTTTTCTGATTAAATATTATATTTTTCTTGCTAAATTATCAATTTTATTAAACAACAGCTCACTGCTCCTGCTGTGGATAACAATTATCATAACATAATGTTGCGTCAAGAGCGTGTTCTAAAGAAAATGATGAGCTTTTTGTGAGATGAATTGTTTAATGTAGACAGCAATAAAACTATCTTACAATCACTTTTTTCATAGCTTTCGCTTCAGCTATTTCTTCCAAGAGTTTCTTTTTCGCAGCAATCAACTCATCGACATCTAATTTTAGGGATTGCTTTAGGTATCTTAATTTTTCTATAGATTCTTCCAATTTACTATCCCGAGAATCATCATCAGTCGTAATATGATGATCTAAAAGTTTCGGTATTCCGGTTCCCTCATCAGCACTGCTTTCACATTTTTCTTTGAAATTGTCAACTACAATAAGATAGTATTCATCATCTTTCAATTCATTTAAAACAACACCATACTGTAATAAAGGGTCAACAGGATCTCCCCTGAAAATTATAAAACAGAACTTTTTGATTTAAAAAATGCTTACAAGCGATTTTAAAAAATCATTCTTTATTGGCAGAACTTACTTTTTAACCATCTCTTCTGAAGAGTGCGATGAATACCATTCATCAGAATGGAATTGTTCATTTCTCTTTTTAGGTCTTCTTTTTTTTCGAAAGTGATGTTTATAAATTTTGGCATTAACATTATTTTCATAAATTGTCTTTTTATCGTATCGTAATTTAGACATTCTTATTGTTTTTTCGTGCTGGTGTTTGTAGATCTTATTCACTTTTGGTTTATTTAATATATTACTATGAACAAAATCACGATTCGGTAATATTTTTTTATTGTTAGTTTCAATAATTTCATAGTATTCATTATTTCTTAAATTTAAATCTTCTGGTAATGAAGGTTGTTCAATTTCTTCTATTATATTATTAATTTCATGTTTAATTGGAGGTTCAGCTTCTTGGTTTCTAACTATTTGACTGTTTGAAGCGATACCTCCTGTAACTGTACTATCGTCGGGCAAAACATTAATTGTTGCTAGTTCTGTTGCTTGAATTCGTAGTGGTACATTTTCAAGATCCTCTAGTACAATACATGATTCGACTGGTTCATTAGAGTTCCTGTTATCTTCGCTTTGAATACAATATTGCACATTAACGCCAGTCCCAACACTTTTCAAATCCGTAGTAAGTACATTACTTTCATAAAATGTATATTCAGGCTCATTTTCTGCATTATTTTCACCTACTGCTATCTCACACTCATAGCTAATATCTTTGTTGGATTGAGGAGCTTCAAACCCTTTGGAAGCTCCCATTATTTCAACAAAAGTTTCTTCTATCTGTTGATGAGATGATTCTATATAAGAATTAACTTCTCTTTGAGTGTTTTTCCGGCGCTTTGATTTATGACATGTATTCCTAAAAGGTCACAAGCATATTGTTAAATTTTTAAAGCTATTTTGATATACAAGGGGCTAAATTGAATGACCCACTATAACGTGGTTGTTTCTGAAGCTATTTTAGCTTTGCTTTAGTAGGCTAAAATGAATTGCCTAAATACACAAACTAATACCTTTTGCTTGTTTCAACATTTTTATCAGCATATTCATTTCTAATAGAGTCCTGTATGTGTTTTATATTTTGTAAAGTTTCCTCATCATGATGCAGTTGTTGCAAACGTGTTACTAATCTGCTTTTATTGTCAACATTTTCCGAAAGAGTATCCCTCATATCTGTAAACGTAATTCATTGTAATTGTATATTAGAATTTAAATAAAAATATAGAAATGTAAAATAATTGCTTAAAATAATAGAATATAAACGGTATTATCAATGAAATATTATATAAACCCTATGCATTTTTTGCCTAATGGATCTATAACTCTTTATTTCTTAATTATATCTATAGGTATAACGATCGATACAATCATAAAAGTTAAGGGCAGTGTTAAGAGTGCATTGATGGAGGTTGGTTCTTCAGTATTTACATGCGGTGAAGCTATATATATGGGTCAAGCGTATGTGGCACTTTCGAGAGCGACATACTTAAACTGTTTATAGATATCAATATTAATTTTGGTGGTATTCTGATTATAATAGACTTATTATAATATAATAGACTTTATAATATAATAGACTTTATAATATAATAGACTTATTCACAGAGTAGATTTATCGAAAACCTATACATCAACGTCTTTTCAAAAAGTCATGGAGACAGTGATCTATGAGAAATCCCATAAATGAGACTCAAGATATATAACCGAAAAGAAAAAAAAAAGGAGAACTATGTTTCTACAAAAAGAAATGCGATCCCATCAAAAACACAACTTGTACAAAAGCACATCTATGGCAAAGCAATTCATGTTTGACTTTTCTGTCAAGACATATCATCTCTTAACAGAAAAGTCAAGACACTTAGAAGGTGACACTAACGTTAGAAAACACAAAAAACTGTTTGTGAAATAGCAGTTTGTGACTCGAGCTACTAGAGCCATTTAACTACCTCACTCTAGTCTAGCTACTAAAGTGATTTTTTTAGTAATATTAGATAAATACCTATATAATAACAATAAAATACACATTGAAAGAGTTATGACATATTATTTATTTATGTAATCAAGAAAAAAAGAGGCATAGACAAATAAATTGGAGTAGTTAAGTGGCAAGAGAATCAACTTGCTGTGTTGTTGACTCGATAACTCAAGTCCATACAGACTCAAGAAATATTTTTTTGTCACTTGAGTAAGAGAATGAAAAATCAAGTGACTCAAGTAAAAACAGGGCTCAAGTCGCATCGCTAGTCTCAGTATGTAGTTACATACTGAGACTGTAATGTAAACTCAATGTGTAAAATATTAGAAGATAAGTTTATCTAGGGGATTAAATGGGTGTTATAAAGCTCATTACTCAAAATTACCTTGTGGCACAAAATAAGATAGATTCAAATTGTTATTGGGATAACCTTTGTTCTCATTTTGATCCGTTATTCCGAGTTCCTCTTTTATTTCTAAAAAACAAAAAAAATATATAAATGTATATTAGAAACATCATATACATAGCTCACCCACTATACATGTATAGAAAAGTTCTCCGAATCCCGAACCACAGAGATGGCCACACCGTATGAGCCACTTAACTATGGATGTACTCAGTTGGAAAGTAAATTAAAAAGGGATATGATACAGCATTGATATCAAAGAATAGGTAAATAATTATGTTACTCACTATCTATTTTCTTTGACATTTCCTTTAATTTTTCAAGTGAAAATTGCCTTTCTATTTTATTTTTCTTCATGTACATAAGCATATTAGCAAAATATCCATAACTCATGGTGTAACCTGTGAGTAATTCAAAATATTTTTGGGCCACTTCTTTATCTACATCTAATGATAAAAGGTCCATTATCTGGAAAAAAAGAAATAAATATTTTGCAACATAAAAATCAAAGATAATATTAATAATAGCTACATTATACATATTAGCTAGTTTTATACTAGGGAAATTAATGCCCATGAATTCTATGAGACACAAATTATTGTCCTAAAAGAAATTATATTTAATTTATATTAAATAGAAACCAAGTCAGTATAACAACCTCTTCCTTCACATTTGGATGCAATCTTCTTCCATGTTGAAGCTTGTGAAAATAATCATCAATTAAAGGATGGTCATGATGGTTACAGACATAAACTACTGTGAGATCTTTTGCACCACTAGGCACCGGTTTTAACAAGACCCGGCAAGGACAGTCATGAATGGGTACTCTGCGAGTTCTGAAAAGGAGTAATAAAAGTATATGACTCTGTTACTATATTAACTGAAATTAATTAAGGAAACACTTAAGTATCGGTGACTACGTCAACATGCTCCAAAGGGGCGATGAGAACACACCTCGAATCACAAAAATCTCGCTATTTTAATGTATGCATATAAATCCCTTTGCCTAATCAATGTTTCAGACAAAAGTATTTGTCAAAGTTCATATAACATCAAACAACAGTTCAATTTTATGTATTTAAAACTCGGATACTAACAAACTCTGATACTTCTCTGATACTAGTCACCAATACTAAAGCTGAACCTTAATAATAGTTCTTATGATACCTTTTCCTCAACCCTTTTGCTTTGGTGACAGCACTTCTTGGCCTAGCAAAAACACACTTGTACACAAATGTATCCTTTCCATTCTTTCTATGGGAATCTGCACACTTGAGGTAATATTTCCATTCTTTTGCTTTGCCATCAATATATAATCGAAAACTGTCAAGTGAATCAAATTTATCACCTATTTTAGGAAGTTCTTCATTTTCATATTTAAATAAATTAGATGCATGTTTCATGCAATAATTTTCTGGAATGTATGCTGTAAATTAAATTAAATAATTTTCTCAAAATAAAAGTTAAGGAAACCTAAAGTATCATTGATAGATAATCAATTGCTGTTTGATAACAACTACAAAATTTTAAGTATCACCTACGATAATATTTGGTGTTAAAAAGTCCTCCAAAAACATGTTTAGTTATTTCTGTTTCAGAGTCTGCAACGAGGAAATCTAATTTCTTTTCCACTAAGTGCTTTTTAGGTTGATGGAAGACCCTGCAATAAAAGTTTATCTACTCAAAAAATATTATTCCCTGAACATTGGTACATTCTAACAAACCAACATAATAAAGTAATAAACTTACTTTATTATGTTGGTTTGTTAGTAATCTTTTTTTCATAAGATGAACATTATAAGGCTCGTGCATTCCGTTTGTTTTTGTATTCTCTCTTTGTTTGAGTTTACAAGAAGCATCTCGTTTTATATCCATTGTATAGAATTTTAGTTTTCTATAAAGATTTTAAGTTTACAATAGTGAATTTAATGAGTAGTGTACTGAAACGAAATTAGTAGCCTACACCGAGAAAAACCACCTTTACTACCTTTGTAATCTAAAAGTTCAGTAGCAAAGAGCGCTAACAAGTCTGAAGTTTCAAACTTTATTTATCACCATAAACTGTTTTTTTTTCAAAATAAAACATACACAACACAATACCGTCATTCCTCAAGAAAATTTATAGAAAACAATACATACAAACAACTTTAAATTACGAATTTAAGAAAATCCTTATATTTAAAAGCACTCTTTGGATCAGTATTATGTATTATCTATGCTTGCTTTGGATAATACTGATCACAGAACAATAATACTCTATCACAGACTTTGTGCTCTATCAACTATTATGTGGGTACATAAATAATCAAAAATTATTCTAAAGTTAGGTAAGGAATTAAAAGCTGTTTTGAATTTATACTTCGTGTTCGTTGGACTCTGTACGTGTAATACGTCGTAGAGTATATTATTCTATGGTAATGAGGAAGTATTAAAAAAAACATTAGTTCCCGAAATCAAACTAGATGTCGCTATGGTACGTTCTTGATTTCTCCATGACAACCTTTCCGATTTGCTTTCAAGTTAAAAAGTAAATTATCTTTCAAAACTCAATAAACAATTCATATTCTATTCGTAGTTTTTCGTATTTATTTTGATATCCAAGTTTCGAACTTTTCAAATTTATGTTTTTAATATGTTAGTTAAAAGGAACGGAAATATCTATCTTTGGTCCATTTGTTTCCTGCAATAATCAACGTTTGCTAGGGTCGCCATCTAGTAGAGGTGCTTTTTTAGTCCTTTGTTTTTTTTTTAAATACTTCCTCATACGATATATTACCGTTATCTATTAATCCTCCATCGTGGAGGTAATAGATACTATACAACAGGACAGAGCACTCCCAGCTGGAAAGCGGGAAAGCGATATAACAAATACAGAGGCTATTTATCTCTTTTTAATAGGGTTTGCATACAATAAAAAAACATTTTTTTAGTAAATTAAAGGCATTTCGTGCATTTCGATAATGATGTGCGATATCGCACGTAAAAAAAAATATGCCAATATCCCTCGTATATAAAACAAATGAAAAAAGCTTGTATCACTAATTTAATATACGTAAATTACGTATTGCTCGCAGTACATGGTGCTTTATTTGTCATTTCTTGGGCTCGGAGCCAAACTTTTCTGTTCTGATAACATTAGCATCATTCCTAATTCGTCGAAAGCAGTGTTATTCAAACTAACACACATTTTAACTTTCGACTGACATTCAAAATTTTATATTTCTATTACCTATTATCTTATTTTAAAAGTTGGATCCCTTGCGGAGTAATGTTGAATTATTATATTGTATTTAAAAAAACTTACAAGTATTTAATTAAACTATACTCTTAATCAAAAAGACAACACCTTAGTCTTATGTGAACACGAAATCTGTAAAGGGTCTGAAACGTCATAAAACTAAATACAAACGCGATGAAACCATTTAAATATTGTTTCATTTATGCCTTAAAGCTTTTGAGACCATTCCATTCCCTAAAGTCTCGATTCCCTACTTTTCTTAAAATTATAGATAGATTGTTGAGATGTAAGAAAAAGGGCATAGTGGAACAAATGGTAATAAAAAAAACCAATGCTTGCGCGAAAAACGCAATTTCTACAAGAATTTCCAGCATATGGACTTAATTCCTCTTGTACGCACCCATCCAACCCAGTCATGGACTTCAGACTGGCAAAATACTACATCAAGAATTATTTCGATATACAGCCTTTTATACCCAGTAAGCTGTAAGCTGCTTTGGGGGAGGCCTATGCCCAGCAATGGGCGTCTCTCGGTTGATATGATGAAGATGTGGTTTTTCGAACTACGATAAAAGTAAACTCCATCATTGTCAACTTTGCCAGTGGCTATCAAAATTATTTTTCAACAAAGTAACGCAATAGCCCTGCAGTACATCTGCCTAAAATTAAAATTCGGAATAGTTCGCTATGTGAGTGCGAACTGAATGAAGGGTCACCGGATCACATTTTTATTTCAATTGCCCAAATATTCCCCATTCCCTATACGATACCTTACCTTCAGACATTACACGTCCTCTTAACATTAAACAGTTTTTAAGGTCTATTAAAGTGGTCCCAATAATAAAAATACTATCAAAATGTATCTGTATCAATAAATTATAACTTCAACAAAGGTAATTTGTATGTCTATTGTTAATTAATTATGCCCTTTAAATGTTTGTGTGTTATGATATGAATGTGGCGTCCAAAGTTTATGTTGTGTTGTTCTAGGTAAATCGACATAAAAGAGAGATGCTACATATTCTAAATTTGTTATATTAATTTACTATACCATGTAGAGGTCACCTGCGTGAAATTGGCAGGAATGTGGTTAACACAAAATAGCCATTAAGATAGAAGAAGAAGAAAAAGAAGTTCCGGGTTGTCATTGTTGTCTAACTATGTTCTGAAATTAGCAATGTAATTTTTACCTAACTATGGCGAAGCGAAAAGGAGGGTTATGAGTTTGGCCGGTATGTATGTATTAAATATAATACAATGTTTGAATAGTAAAATATTCTTATTAATACAGGTTATAATATTAAAAAAAAAAACAGCACTACCTCTCCGAAATATGAAGATCTGTTCTATAAACAATGTCATAGATTTTAGTGGAAAGTAAAACTACATTCAATTAAAAGAAAAACTGCGTTCTTAATGAAACATACTTAAAAAACCAGAACGGAGACATTTTAGACATCATTTTTCAAAGTAACATTTAGTCAGTTCTACGTCATCTCCTAGTCTGCAAATCCTAGAAGCTGTGGTGAAAGTGGGTGGGCATCGTATGCATTGTTTGTAAGAGCATTGTCTGTGATGTATCTTTTCAATCTGTTTATGACCGGTTTCTATGATAATGCAGTAGGTCGTGGGTACACCTGGTACACTAAAGAAATATTGATAACATTCTGGATAATTTTCTATCTTGTCATGACACTATCAATTTTTTTCTCAGGTACAAAAAGCCATGGTTCCTTTTGATTTAATATGCTGTCCCTAGGGAAAATATTAATAATAAACATAAAATTATTAAATGTCTCACACTGCTTAATAATGGCATAATGACATCTAATATAAGTCTTAATATTCAAAACGCTTTTACTTTTACTATATTCTTTCGAGTTTTTGGCTATTATCTTACGATATTTACAACATTCATAGCTGAGAAAAGTGCGCTTAAATCACGTCAAATAAACGTGCGCACATCGTTTATACGACATATTAAAGATCCTTCACTCCACCGATATCTGAAATAAAAACGTTTTGCTGGCTTTAATTCGATAACATTTGCTCGTTGGGCAGTGTATCTTTATAACAACATCATAACTGAGTAATTTAAGGGTGACGAGAGACATTAAGAAAAATATTGATTAAACTAGGATTCCAAAGAAAAATAAAACTAAAACAAAAAGAAAAGATCAAATGTAGTCGTTCGCTGCCCTCTGGATCCAAAGCAAAACTCGTGACGCAAGAAAATTCTAAATTCCTAGGTAAATAATATAATATTGTATTATTACTTTTTTGAAGTAGGTTTTATTTGATTGTACCTCTATGCAGTGACACCGCTATGCTCGATGTTGACGTTGATTTTTTACAGAATAGAAATGCAGTACTTAATCCGTCATTATGGAAGAAATGTCAGTCAGATTTTGAAATACTACTCCTATTTTAACCTTTTAAAAAACACCGGGCTTAAGTGAAAAATCACGTTGAAACAAAACATAAAAATTCATTTAACTCACTTAATGCAGCTATTAAATGAAAAACAAAATTTATATTGATGCCTAGTCGATCATTCATACTAAATCTATACATATATACCTAAAAGCGAAAAGTCACTCACTCACTCATCATCTCTCTACTGACATGAAAGTTTTTATAAAATTTTCTCATTTCTGGTCTTAAAACTACCACTACCAGCCCTTTTACGTCCCCACTGCAGGGGCTCAAGCCTTCCTCATGGATGGTTGAGGAGGATGGGCCATGACCCTCCACGCTGGCCCAATGCGGATTGGAGGGTATTGACGACTGCAAATGCAGCCGGGACCAACGGCTTAACGTACCTTCCAAAGCACGGAGCAGCTCGAGATAATATTTTTTTGGTCACCCATCCTGTGTCTTAAAACTAGAGCGAGCAAATTCGCTGGCGAAAGGCTAGTACCTAAATATAAGCTCATTTTTCTCGAAAAAGTTCTTCGTTTTCTAATGTGCATTTACTGCACAGATTAATTTTGTCCTTGGTACTCATTTACACGACAGTAGCTTGCACATATCTACTTTTGCTGCTAGTGAGCCTACTTAAATCAATACTATCTAAATAGCAGAATAACATTGTTTATAAATATTTCAGACTTTCATTTATACTTAGGTATTTATATTGTTTAATTAGACAAAGTCTCTCTTTGTCTAAAATCGAAAAAAGAAATCGATGTACAGAAAAATATTTCTGATAAATATTTATCTACCTAAATCCTTATTTTTTTAATACATTAAGAAATACATATATAGAAAATGATTAAGACTAGAAAAAGTATTTTTTCGAACCGACCCACCGACTTCAAACTTTAAAAAGTCGGGCGGAGGTGTTCTGCAGATTATTGCGAGTATAATAAGATAACCGATAATATGAGACCACGTCGGGTCCATAAGCTGCAATAATTAAAAAAAATGAAAATCCGTCAACATAAATAAAAAAATATACATCGACGTCGAACATTATAACATCCTCCTTTTCTATTTTGAAATAAGTTAGATATAAGAATTATGAAATACATAAAGCATGCAACGGAAACACTCGAGTACATTCGTAACAATTTTTTAAAATTAACTATAATATTAATTAAAGGTTATTAGGGTACTTCTTGGAAAAGCAATTTTTGAGTGTCACAGGAACATATCTCCTATAAAAATAAATTATTATGATAAAAACTACTATTACATCGTTTCTTCATTTCATTAAGCATCCTGTCATATAGATTTCACGGATAAAAAACGACGTAGATCGGAGTAACTTACCCTCAACACCTCAAATCCGGTCAATTTTGCACGTTTTTACCGTGTCACACGCGCGCCGACTTTTGAGCAATCGCAAATATTTTTGAAATTACCCACGTTTTTATTCAGTTTGTTACACATATTTAAAAAAGACAAATCGGTTTACATATTGATCAAATTTCAAATTAATCGGAAGGAAACTTTTGATTTTATGGTCAGAAGTATA